TGTATAAAACGCCATTTGTCATTGATGTAATTGGTGAGAGGTACGAACCATATCAAAAAATCAATAAATGTCGAGGTGTCGTGGTATAGTTAATTTAATTGACTGTTAGGGTTCGACTTTGAATCTTAGCCTGTCACTAACATTCTTTGGTAAGACAATAATCTATATTTGCCACTCTCCACCCAGGTGTAAATGGGTACCTTGCCATTGCTGGGTTAATACTAATTGCAGGGCCCTCAAGGAGAACAGCATTGAAACGGATGAGGCTTCCCTGGGTTAACAAAAGTATTAGTAACCATATTGGGAACTACCTGCATTAGCTGTATCAATGATCCTGAGATCGTAACCCTGGTCATAGCCAGCCCGGTAGAGACCTTTATCTCCATTGTCCCACTGAACGAGTACCGAGAGTTTTGGAAAATGTAGTTGACGTTCATCATGTAGTCTCAGAACCGTTCCTGCGTATCCCTTTCCGCCATCTTGGTTCTTGTAAGTCCAATCAGGCCCTCGGATGACACGGAAACCTGGTTTTACAGGGGTTTCCATTTGTGTTAACGTTCAACAGCTAAATAGAGGGCAGAAATGGGAAACATATAAGATAGATATATAGGAAGAATGTTAAAAGAAATAGAAACATGTACTGTATAGATTGAGAGAGGGTGAGGTAAAGAGAGGGTAGAAGTCTATGTCATGTTCGGAGAGGTTTGTAGTTATCCACGTTTGCAGATAAATCCACTCTTTTTAGTTTCATGCCATTTGAAGCAAGGATTAATCAAGGTTTATAATCATATTCGTTTATTATTCATCCTGTTAAAACATATCGTTTTTAACGAGATAAAATGAGACCTCCGTAACTTTTACAAACAATCCATCGATATAGAGCAAGTATTGGCTAAGATCGATTAATGATGATTTCTTAAAATACTTGACATATTGTTCACTTGTTCACTTATCTACTCCTTATACCATTGTATATTTCATATGCCATTTACCCGACGTTCGCCAAGGCAGTGTAAAGGCAGTTCGCTTGTTATTGTACTCAGTTATACGCCCACTATTCACTAACAATCCGCGAATAAGGTTCCTCACCGTGTACAATTATTGAACTTCTTTAACCTTTGTTCACCATTCTGTTGTACCCTGTACTAATGAGGCTTCTCACCATGTAGAAACGTCATTTTCACATTCCTTTTTCTATTCCTTTAACTCCTAATCCAACATTCCTTATGTAGGCCTTAACAATTTGTTTATCCATAAATAACATTCTAGTTCTGGAGAAGATCAAATATACATTATGACTGAAATTATATAAAACTCAAAATGATCACATAATTTCTTACTGGCTCTATAAATGCGTATAAATTCAATTTGGAAACCATCAAAACTTTGTTCTCATCGGCTAATAAATAAACGGAAATTTATGAAAAACTTCCTCTTTTTCTTTTAATTTCAATAAACAAAAAAATTGTTTTAAAAGTAACCAATAGTTGAAATTGGAAAACCTACCCGCATATTATTTTTTAAAGTTACATCTTATTTTACATTTGAATGAAAATTAAACTTAGGCACTCATTCACTCATCCGATTAAGATCTATTCTTACAATTAACATACAAGTTAAGTTTCTTTAGTGCTTCTTTGAAATACAGGAAATATTACACACACGCGCGCGCAACCTCACACGCACACTTATTTAGTCATACACCCCAGAACCATTCTCTCCCTTCTCTCTCCCATGTTTCTCATAACAAAAAAAAAAGCAAATTATACACACACTTGTCTATACACCCACACCCATGCGCATATAAAATTCTCCCCCCCTCTCTCTCTCTCTTTCATGTTTCTTTAAAATCAATCCATCACACACACCACATAAAATAAGGATGAATTACATGTTCTTTGCTTCCTTCTCCTCTCTGTCCAATTTTGCGTCACTGGCTTCATAAAATTACTCCTTTCAATACGTCTGTTGTTGATCAGTAATGGCGGCTTCAAAACCTGGCACACATACATGCATACAAGTACAGCCAATTCTCAAATAGCTGTCTGCAGCGTATTGAGTGCGTAGAGTGGCGGGGATTCCCCAGCATTTCGCAATAACAACTGGCAAGAAATTCCGACCGTGCACTGCTTACGCGCCTGTGTGTTATTTATCATACATTATAAAATGGGTTCAATCAAAGATGTAGCCAATGAGAAGCGTCAAAATAGATCACATGATCGTGCATTATTTTTTACTATCCGCACGGTACCATTTGCATAGGGTTCATTTTGGTGATAACAACCGTGGATGAAGGTTGCGGGAGACATCGTATGGCCTTGCTAAGTAAGATTGTCGACCCATTTTATAAAACAAATAATACACAAGTAAATATATATTTTTTAAAGTTTCTCTAAAGTTAATCAAACTATAAACATACACACACACAAATACTTATCCAACACACTCCCCCTCCTCCTATCTCACTCTCTTATACATATGTTCATAAGGAAATATATCCGGATCAAAGACAAGTTTAATCATAAAGAACAATAAGGATGAATTACATGTTCTTTGCTTCCTTCTTCTCTCTGTCTAATTTTGCGTCACTGGCTTCATAAAATGACTTCTTCCAATAAGTCTGTTGTGGATCGGAAATGGCGGCTTCAAAACCTGGCACATAAAAGTACAGCCAATTCTCAATAGCTGTCTGGAACGTGTTCAGTGCGTTAAGTGTTCACGGGAATTCCCCAGTCTTTCGCAATAACAACTATGAAGAAATTGCCACCACGCACTGCTCACGTTCCGTGTGATATATATCATACAATGGCTCTTTTGTTGTGGCTCTTACGCACCATAAGCACACTATGTATTCAGCATACAATGGTCTGACAAGCTGCAGCGAATACTTATAATGTGGGATTCTGTGATATATGTTTGTCATATTTTTGTGATACACAAGTCATGTAAAGAAAGTGTGTGTATACTATATTAATAGTAAACTGACATGAAAGTTATGTTAAAAAAATTACTTTAATAATTCAAATCAGTTCAAAATGTTTTTTATTAAAAACAAACGTGCGTCTCAACATAATATCAAATTGTTTATAGTTTACAATCATTAACAAAAATAACAATCAACACAATTTTACCAAATGTAGTTTTTACCTTCTCGGCTATTATTTTCCCTCATTGAAAAGGAAACGTTTTGTTATTGAATAAAAAATCCTTCCAATTAAAGCTCCGTGCATGACACATGTATAACTTGGTACGTCACATCTAAAATGGCTGCGTCCATGTCGTGTTAGAAGGCATATCATGATGCCAAGCAATCCACCGTCACACACATCGTCCCTTATTGAACTAAGTGCATGACCGTGAGCTATTTCGTTTTTCCCCTCCTATTTTGTAAAGTAGCAAACATAACTTTAAAAGAAGCACATTTGAATACGAATTTTGAGCCATTAGGGCTCATCTGCATATGTTAGATAATTTTTGTTATAACCTCTTATTTAACATTAAGTACAGAGGACCATTCTCATCTAATTAGAAAGGTAAGAAAAATATGAATCACATTATTGAAGTAATGAACTGTAACTGCATAACAAACAAAACAAAACAAAGAAAAAGTTACACAAACTTTCATAGTAATCTCTGACGATATCTAATAAAAAACAAAAAAGAGCGTACTCTTTCATTTTCATAATGAAAAGAAAAGGCATTTTTCTGTGGAAAATGAAACACTCCAGAACTGCAATGACTTGCCTACATATCAGGGTATTTCAGTTATTTAAAAAAAAACAAAGCATTATTATAACTAAAATATGGGTACATCTTGTTTTGATATTAATCAACGATTTCTTTTCAGTTTTAATAGCATGTCCATTCACACAAACAAAATAAAAAGGAAATCGAAAATTAAGGATTCTAGTACATTGATTAGACAGATACGTTCCTCCACATTTGAATTCGATCTGAAGATAATGCATCCTGCTTGTTTATCTACTACTCACACTGGATGAATGTACTAGGTTTTACATTCATAACACCAGCTTATACTTAAGCAACAACATGATAAACTGTTGTTAAAGGTACTATGTCCCATTTGCAGACCAAACAAATGAAAAGGTTAAATTCCAACGGCATTTGAAAGATAATACTAATTTAGAACTTCCCTAAAAAACGGGGGGCTTGAAAATGTCATTAAGTGGGAAAATAAGGACTATTAGTTATTGAATCGACTTAAGAGCTATAGAGCCAGTAAGTAATAGTCTGATTTTCAGACCATTGTACCGAATGATCGTACTTTTTATGCTCCGCAAAGATTCAGTCAGTTTGAATTTGGCCATTACAAGAAGTGGGTTATTGATGTAGACAAATGCTCATGTACCCTTTACAGCTCATTTTATGTATAAAGAAGAAGAAAAGGCCAGTCAGTTACTCAATAGTGTCTGCCAGTGAAGTCTAGCAAGTAAACGGGTTTCCTTGCATAATTTGAATATTAGGATACTGCTAGCGTTTAAATTTTACAGATAGGACATACATGACTTATTTATAATTCCTGCAAAGTTCTACAGAATTTGATGTTGGCTGCAAAAGGGACATTGTATCTTATACGGAGTAACCTGTCCTAGTTATAATGAGCATTGTTCTTTTTATTAATTTTGTTATTGAGATTTGGAAACATGGTGTTACAAAAAGCGGTTTATTTAAGCAGGTTTTGCCCTTTGCGTTTAGAGAAGAGATTTAAAATCAAACGTTCTATTTATTGTACAAATGGCATGAAATCTACTCAGTGATCAGGGATAAATAGTGTCGTAATATATTTTATAATAATTATGATCATTATCACAGTTGAAAAGACAAATAAATCGTCGATGATATCTCATATACAACGTCAGGCCAATAGGACATTTTCAAAATGTAATACAAATTATATACGTTTACCAAGTATTATAATTGACTGTGTAACAATTGGCATGATGCCTATTGCAAACGTCAGTTGTTGCTAGGTCAAACTTTGTGACAAGCCCTAACAACACGTACTATGCAATTTACATGGTGAATTTTGAAATATAATTACATGTACTCGAAACGAATAATAACAATTAACTCAACAAAGACATATGTTTTAAATATGATTACTAGTGCATTACGGAAATGGCAGTAAAGTCAATCTTTTTTTGAGGACATGCGAATCATGTAGTTTCAATGGACCCTTTGCCATGTTACCCCAGCAATGATTTGAATTAATATTGATCACTAAAGTTGCACCGCCATGGGTAAACAAATGTGGTATTGAAATCTCAGTCTTCAAAATATTTAGTGGTAATACCTCTACACGTGCGATGAGAACCAATAGGCGTTAACCCTTATCATTGCAATGCCCTCGATAATTATGTACAGGAGTGGAAATCCACTTTAGGAGAGTGATATTAGGGATCATTCTTCGTTTTGGAGAGGAAACCTACATCGAAAATAAAACACAGCGATCCACTATTAAACAAAAGAACTATTCAATAACTATGTTTGAATGTATTCAGTTCTAAAGGTAGCAGTCCTTTACATTTATCCTAAAAAGGTTTCCACTCCTTTGCATTAAGAGGGTAAGGTCCCTACTGCAAGTCAACGACTGAAGAAATTGGCTCGCTGCAATATGGGCATTCAGGGATGAGCTCAGCAATGCTTCGGATGACATCATGACCACATGCGAAGGAGATTTTCTTCTTGACCAGGTGTTCCAGTGTCTTGACCCTGGACTGAAGGGTTTCAAGCTCTTCGTCTTTGCGCTTGATCTCAGTTTGTATGTTATGCAACTTGCCTATAAGGATATAAGATACAGAGAATAAAGAAATGCTACATTAACTCAAAATATATATGTTTGTATCTCTTCAGTTGATAGTCAAAATATTTCAGTCACTTGATTCCTTGACTATTTTAATCTTACTTGAACGCAAACTCATCACAATTTGAAATATTTTCCATTTTCAACTGCACTTTTCCCTCCTCAAAGATTTTCATGATTCTCGAAGCAGTATGGAAATCGTAACTACAGTAGGAGAAGTTAAGAAAAAACCATATCTCCACTATCAAATACTCATAGTGAATGAATAGCATCGAAATGTATATCCTAATCGGCATGACGGATTTATACTTTTGGACCTTCAGCACTGTTTTTTCTTCTCCAGATCGATGGCATCGCAATCCGATTCCATAGTTTTCCACATAAACTTCAGGAAACCGATTTGGGTAATGATTTCTGATTATAGTCCTCGTCATCGTTCTACTATAAAAAAAAGGGAATATATATATCGAGATCTGTAGCCTTGTGTTTTGAATCTGTGCTCTTTCTTTTAAAACAATCATTGTATTCTTCACCTGAAGATTTCTGCTGACTTCCTGAACCCGTTGCCAACTTCGCCGAGGAGTTTCCAGAGCTACCTTTCTTTGAACCTGATCTTACAGTGCTTTTCTGTAAGACAGACGACACAGAGCTGACCTTAGTTCCTTTGTTTTTGTTTGTCTTAGTCAGGGTACGTAGGGGGCGTTTGGATGCGCTTTGCTGTCTGGCAATGTCTTTCCTGTAAGCGTTTTAGAGATTGCAAACAAATTAAACAGTACGCTCATATTGTTACAGGGATAGACCGACTACAAGACAACAGTTCAGATTAATAGTAACGTGTTTTTACAACTGGCGTGAAGGCTATACTATACTATCTTTCAGTCAGATTTAAGTTCCTGAAGTTTGTTCATTAATATTCTAATGCACAAAATATATTTAGACTAAAAAAACTGCAGAGATGCATCAGGACATATTAATATTGATAGGTCATGTTAAACGTGAACTTCTCTGCGATTTGAACTCTATTTGTTTTATGTTTCGTACGAATGACTTCTCATGTATGCAAAAGTAAGTGGTAAAAGTGATAGAGCAGGATGCCAGAAAAATCATTAATTTTTATGATTGTGCACACTCAATTCTAATTTGTGAAAAGAAACCACATGACAAGACTGTAATACCATTTGCATACTGGTACCGTAAAACTCTGCAAGCTGACTTTCAAATTTCTGAATCCACAATACCTCACAGTTATCAATACTTTCAGGTTCATGTAGTCTTACAACAGTTGATGAAACAGCATTGAATGCAAAATGTTTTATAGCACTATCCCTACTTGTAAAATACTCGTTTTTGAGGGGAAGTGTGACAGGGATGAATAGACCGATGTTTTTATGTAATCGTCCAGAGGACGAGTTGAGTGGGATGCTAAAAATGGTTCTCGAAAGAAGATTCAACATGTAATGGTTCCTGAATCATAACAACTTTGTGTTACTTTGTCGTCTGTTAAGTGAACAATGGACCTGTGAAAATAGTTGAAGGAAAGCAGCCGTAATAATATATACGGCTGAAAGTAGGCAAGTACTCGTATGTTTTGCCTTTACAACCAGTACACGTTTCCACAAAATGGCGCGTTTTTGTAGATTCTTCTTAAATTTTTGTGTTAGGAAGGTTTTCGGAGATGTTAATTTGATTTAACTGAATGAATACTAAAAGTTAACTGATTTTTTGAAAAAAATTGTAGGAACTATTTAGCCGGGAACGGGAATTTCACTCTAAGAATAAAGTCACAATGACGCTGATTAAAACTTCTAAATCACTATCAAAACCGTCATTTATGGTGGATTAATGAATTCAATAACCAACAAAGTTTTTAATCATCAACGATTATCTAGTTTCTTTAGAAATTTTCATTTGAGTTTAGTTTATAAATCGATTTTTTAAAATCTTTTCAAAATTCAAATCTTGATTTATAAATCATGTCCATGTAATGTATTAAATTGCACTTTTTATGAAAATATCATATCGTATGTCTTGTATCAAACGTATTTTATACCGTTTCTGACTTTGAATGTCAAGTAGAGGTTGCAGGATTGGATCCCGTTTTTGTTGAAGCATAGTTTTTATTTTCCAATTTGCACTATTGGATGCATTCAGATCACCACCGTGAGAGACAAGGAAGGCAAGGAGAGCATCTGAGTTCGTCTTAATGCCACGGTGTCCCCATTTCCTCTTCATCTGTAAACACAAAAAGGGGCATGGGAGCACCCCGAGGGGTTATTAGAAGAAGCAATATTCGTTAAAACAAAAAATTGACGACTAGCACATGACTACAATTTTGGGTAAAACATTCAAAGATATCACAAAAGTACATCAAAATTTAAATGAAAACCCCCCAAAAGAACAAAAACAAAGAATGTCTGTAAGAGAAAACAATAGGTTACATGAAAATTAATTACTTTTAGCCTAGAGTACAAAAAAGATTAAATGCGGGTCATAGTGTGGATAAACCTATATCGAAAAAAAAAATGGATAAAACACACTGTACATACATAGATGCACCATGTCAAATAATTGGATTTTTATAAATCAAGCAAGTTATTGACCAACTTTTAGAAGTACAATTTTGTTAAGAAAATGAATAAACTACATTTAAGTAGAATTAAATGTTTGAACAAAATACACTATATTCCCTGTAAAAAAAAAAATCAAGACTGAAAAGCCGTTGACAACCAGTGACGTAATACATCACCGCTAAGAGTAAAGGTAACTGTTGAAAATGAGGTCAATTACTATTATCATCTTGGAAGATAGGACTAGATTATAATTATAAGAACAATAAACAGATACAATAAAAAGTAAGTTACTTGTCTAAAATATATACGTATGAGCGGAAAAGGGTTCATTGGAAAATCTTCAAGCTTGAATAAAAGATTGATCAACGGATGACACTTTACAAAAAACAAAAACAAAAACTCTTTTTCTACGTACCGTATTTCAATGCCTTTGCCCGAATGCTAAATTTGTAGTTAAATCCCAAAGAGGTAATGCTTTAAAACCTTTAATTTTTTTTAGGTGATATGATTATGAAATAGCCTGCCAATTTGCACATATGATTGTTGGGTCATATACTAGTAGTTATGAAAGTGGGTTTTCAAATGTACGGGTGATATCTTCTCGGTTTGATTCATAGCAATATTCGTAATTTGTTTCATACTTAGGTAATATAATCTAAGGTTGTTAAAGGTACTATGTCCCATTTGCAGGCCCAAAAAAAAATGAAAAGGTTCAATTCCAACGGCATTTGAAAGATAATACTAATGTAGAACTTCCCTAAAAGAGGGGGGCATGAAAATGTCTTTAAATGGGAAAATAGCGACTATTAGTTGTCAAATCGACTTAAGAGCTAAAGAGCCAGTAAGTAATAGTCTTATTTTCAGACCATTGTACCGAATGGTTGTATGTTTTATGCTGCGCAAAGATTCAATCAGTTTAATTGTGGCCATTCCAAGAAGTGGGTTATTGATGTAGACAAATGCTCATGTGCCTTTTACAGCTAATTTTATGTAAGAAGATAGTCAGTCACTCAATAGTGTCTGACAGTGAAGTCTAGCACGTAAACGGGTTTCCTTGCATAATTTGAATATTAGGACACTGCTAGCGTTTAAATTTCACAGATAGGACATACACGACATATTCATTATTCCTGCAAAGTTCTAGAGAATTTGATGTTGGCTGCAAAAGGAACATGGTATCTTTAATATCATACCTCGGCCATATACGGCTCTTTTTTCATCTTTTGTCCTCCAGAAAAATGGGCAATGATGGCAAGCTGCAAGGATGTGTTTCCAGAACAGTCTGGAAGGTTGACATCTGCACCATGCTCCACCAAGACATCCACTAAATGAAAATGCTCACGGGCGATGGCCATAGCAAGAGGACAGTATCCAAAGTCGGTTCCCACTGGCACTGCATTCACATTACAGTGTCCCTGTCGGTATAAATTCAACAACAAAAAATATCACATTCATATTTATGATAAATGGATCAACTTAGGATTTTAGAAATCTGTCAATGCAGGAGTTTTTATAATGTTCGATGTTGGTCTAATTTAAGCCTACAACACACTTTATAAATCGACTACGATCTGATTTTAAAAACATTTGTTTACCTTTTTCATCAATAGTTCTGCAGCATTACGACAGCCCTTGAAAACAGCTAGAGAAATAGGAGAATTGCCCGCGTTTGCCAATGCTTCCACCAGTCTAGGTATCTTGTCCATGAGCTTGGTTAAAACACTGTGACCAAGGCATGGAGAATAATCGAAAAAAGAAATATGAATTAATTCATCAATCCTTGGAAATGGAAAGGGGAAAGCGGCATCCCTCTCCCTGATCTAATACAGGGCAAAAAGCATAACAAGCCTTTTACTCTAAATCACATAGATAATTTGTCCATAGCGCCCATCTTTATTTTTTAATACAATTTTTCATTTGTTTCCTCTTTGCTTGAGAGACATTTTTATTATCACTTACATTTTTATAAGGTGTTAAAACGTCCTAGTTGTTTTTTAATACACACACACACACACACACGCACACCCACACGCACACACACATACACATACATATTTATACATATATATATATATATATATACATAGTCCCGTAATAACCCTATATCTCTGAAAAGGAATAGTGGATCACCATGAAAGTGTTCTTCTAGTTAAAACTTGTTTTCTGAAACACGTCCTTCATAGTTAAAAGAGCTCACTAAAAATAAAACTATTCTCTGTACCAAGATCTGCTAAAACGAATATGGTAATAGTATATTTGTAAAGTGCTTAGAGATATTTGTATTAAGCGCTATATAAAAATTAAATATTATTATTATTATTATTATGTTTTTATCCCCGGCTGAATTCTGAAGCTCATTAAATATGTTTTATTCATTGGATCGACTTGGAAAAATAAAAGAATATACTCCACACACTATGTATTATCCAAGGTAGCAGCAGCGTGCATGCCAGATACTAGATCACTTGAAACCGCTTTCAGATCTGCTTCCTGTCTGTCCATGATGAGGTCCACTATGGTTCTTCCTCCACTTTCTATTGAATGGAGTACAGGTGTCATGTTGTGCACGCCCTATTGCAAAGACATTCCAAGCCATATGATAAGTACACTTACAATTTGTCATGTCTCTTATTCAATGTTATACACTGTTGCCTATAAAGGTTAAAGCCCCACTGTCCTACTTGTAGCTACTTGCTTCCTCTATATAGAAAACTTCCCCAGTCGGTGCCTGTTGGTCCCCCATGATCCTCTTTTTCTTATTTTAGTTGAGAGCTGAGTTAATGAGATAGCCACCTGTCAGTGACCTCGCTGTGTGGTCTAATCCCTACTCGCACAGTAGTATTGACGGTCTTTAAGATGTACCCCTTTTCATGAAATGAAAGTGACAATATGATATATTCTTAATAGTTGCAGTGTATATGTTCTCAAGCCTTTATTATAGAATGGATTTATCAATCCCTGCAATCTGTTTGGTTAATTGCTGCCTATAACAATCGGCTCGCATGGTGATGTAGATATACAGTAGGCTTGCGGTTGCACCATGCCAGACAGCTAGGGGAGGATTGGGGAGTCCTGAAAAAGACTGTTGGTTATCTTTCTTTAATATCTTATAGTTCTAAAGAGAACTATAGCGCCGGTTTGAGAGGAAGGGTGGTCCCATCCTCTCAAGATTGCTCAGTTTTTGTTTTGGGAGAAACCTTATCTGTCAAGACTATTAAAATCATGTTGTCACAATCATTTCATGAAGAGAGGTAAAACAAAATTATTTCAACTTGATGGGCAACAGAGTACAAGGTAAGTTATTACTTATTTGGCTATGTTGCATATAACATCTTAAAACACATTTACACTTTTATCATTTCTCTTTCCTGTTTAGTCAGATATATTTGAATGGTCTTAATATCTAACGGTTGTTGTGAAGATTTGTATCCATTGCCCAAGTAAAGGAGGTTAATATATGTTTTATATCCCACATCGGCAATTAGGGCCCCGTCTTACAAAGAGTTACGATCGATCCAAATCAATCATAAGTCCTCCAATCAATCGCAAGTTTGCAGTCTCCTATCTCTTATATACATAGTTACGATTAATATCAATTGCAAATAAGTTACGATTGGTAATAGACGGGGCCCAGGTCTATTTAAAGTGAATTTTACACAATTAAAACAACTGATTTTGCAGACAGTTTAGCTTCAGCTAGATTTTACAAAGCACAACATGCGTACATGTAATACAGTCGATGCGCGCTCATTTGACATTGACTTTGACATTTCACGTAACCTACTTTGCTATGCTTATTCAATGCGCAAGTAGCGCAAGTGGGGCAGCAGCAAACAATACTTTACAAAAAGACCTATCTCAGGTAGATAGTACTTATCTATACCTTTTTCGTGCTCTGTACAATCGTAATGCAAAGAACTATACATGAGGGATATAATGTCCGATATCAACTTTCCCCGTAAAGCACGAGCAAATGTTTTTGACATTTTTTGACATTTTCAACAGGGGGGGGGGGGGGGGGGGGGCGGAAGCCTCTTGCCGAATTTTAATTTTATGGTTTCACAATTTGGCGAGGGGGCGAAGCGAGTGAGCGAAAATGTGGGCATATATATGTTGTGAAAGTGTTATTTATCACCAAAATATACGAGATAAGATATACAAAGTGCAGTCGGGCAGTTCGCTGCTCGAATAATTGTAATTTTGTAACTTTCGGGGCAATAGAGGCTGCAACCCCACCCCGCATTAAATGCAGGTGTTAATATGAAATGTAATTTGAATCCTTGTGGAGTAAATATAGAAACAGCTCGTGCTACAACCATGATTGTAAACAATTTCTTTATATCTTTACATATTTATATTAATTTCATGAATGACTAAATCTCTCTCGTTCGCTTAACAAATACCAACGCTTTGAGTTATTTTCTACAACCATGATTGCAATGAAAACCTCCATATATTTGGAAATCCAGAACAGTTAAACTCCTGTGGTACTCAATGTGTGTTTCATGACTGTCATCATGATATATTAATCACTTTCTTTATATCTTTACATCTTTATACTCATGAATGACTTTATAACTCTCGTTCGCTTACAAAATACCAACGTGCGCATATTACTCCGTATTTCGAATGAATGCAATATAAATATAAGTTTAATTTTTTTTACAGCCACTATAAGAAGCAAATCCGTCGATTACTTTCATTGTTGGGGATGAATTATCTTTGTTTAAAACGCTTCAAGGATACTCGTCCCCCTGGATCCGCCACTGATACTTTAAACTATGAAGTAAACAAATCTCCCACATACTTTTCAACAATTCTTTTTTTTCTTTCTATCTGACACATCTTCTACAAGAGGATTTCAAATAATCAGCTCTTGAAAACTTGTATTCATCCTAAACATGCGAAAGATAACCATGATCAAGCTCATTTCATTATGACTCAATATAATTTCTGTAAAAGCCCAAAGTATGCAGTTCCGTTGCATTAGTATCATGAAGACATGAATTCACGTCCCACTCCTGCCGTAACTTTTAAAGTTTCAATCTATCACAGAAAAAAAAATCAGTTGTGACCTTTTACAAATACGTTTATTTCAAGAAGATCATATTAGACTTCAATCATGAATTTTTGATATAAATGATTATATTAAATATATATCACAATTTCCTTACCTTTTGGTTCAAGTCTGCACCATGCATCAGCAGATAATGTGCACATTGAAAGAATCCAAGTTCACATGCCTTAGCGAGACATGTGAAGCCTTGCGGGTTGACGGCATGCACATCAGCCCCTTGATCTAGAAGATATTCCACAGCTTCGTATTTGTTGCTTCCGTTTGGAATGGGTGCGTAAAGAAAACGGGCGGATGATCATTTGTTTAACCCGAAACAACTTAATGGATTACAACTTGAACATGGGCAGAAAGCACAAAAATCACTGGATAATTTGGGTCCATTTCTGTTGCTGTACATTGTACCGTTTATGAATAAGAGCTAATATATTCACTCATACAATTAAAATTGAAGTCTCCAAACTGGCAACGCAAAAAATATTGTATAACCATTTTTTTTTAGGTTTAATGTACACTGTCGCTCATAAAGGTGGAATATTTTAGTTTTATCCCAATTCATGGAATTATTTTAAAAATTATTTAAAAATAATAGATCTAGAAAATAGTATACATTCTCAGATTTTATTGAATAATACTTTGCCAATGTGTGTTTTGCGGGACTGCTAAAGCATGTGTACGCTACTATGCTTATCAACTAGGGGACCCCTGCCGTTAAGTCAGAAATGACAGTAATGAGGATTAATGCCCCACAAAAGGGCACTACTATAGCACATCGACACAGTTTTGATCCTGGGGCCTCACAGTTACGAGGACATTGTTTTGTCACTGAACCATGACTGTACGCAGCGGGGGCTAGGGTAGGGGGCAGTTTCCATAAATTAAAAAAAAAACAGAAAATGCAATAAATTTTCAATAATTTATTGCATTTTACCCCGGTCCCCAACATAACAAAATCCTCTGGACGGCCATGCATTATGGCTCAAGGCATGGGCACACAGAAGATTTTTTTATGTTGGGAACCGGGGTAAAATGCAATAAATTATTGAAAATTAATTGCATTTTCTATGTTTTTTTTTATTTATGGAAACTGCCCCCTACCCTAGCCCCCGCTGCGTACAGTCATAGTTCAGTGACAAAGCAATAGCCTCGTAACTGTGAGGCCCCATGATCAAAACCGTGTCGATGTGCTATATTAGTGCCCTTTTGTGGGGCATTAATCCTCATTACCGTCATTTATGACTTAAGGGCATAGGTCCCCTAGTTGATAAGCATAGTAGCATACACATGCTTTAGCAGTCACGCAAAACACACATTGGCAAATTATTGTTCAATAAAATCTGAGAATGTATACTATTATCTAGATGTATTATTTTTAAATAATTTTTAAAATAATTCCATAAATTGGGATAAAACTAAAATATTCCACCTTTATGAGCGACAGTGTACAAAAAGGCAATTTCGTGTTTACGTGTGGAATATTTCATTCCCAGCAGTTTAATTTTTTTTAAACACTTATTTTTACATTATGAAAGAGTGGGTAAGGGTAAAAAGGTACATGAAATGACAATTAAAATGTCAAAAAAATATATGAATAAACCGCAAAATAATAAACTAAAAATGAATGGATAAATTACAAATGATAACAAGTCAGCCATCATATATAAGTTTCACAGGCATTCTGGAGACAAATTACTCTGCAATAGAATATAATATAGGGAATGCGGCGGGGTGGGGGGCTACCCCGGCCCCCCACTCAGTGTTATTTAGGGTACGCATATGCTCGTTCCCTCTTTTTGAAAGCACCCCCTATCCGAGGACTGCCAACATTTCCCAACCCCCCTTTCGCGGGCCTTTCGCAGGTTTTTCCTGCCTTGGAGACACCCCTAAATCATGAAAATTCTCAATGTAACCCCCTAAATTCGGAATAATTTCTAAGGAGTCCAAAGAGATTAGAGAAAAAAAGACCCCCTTTTTAAAGAAATCTCCGGGTGAAAAGTTAATACACCCCTTTTTTTTTTTACAATTCTCGGGCCGGACTTTGTCGCACGAAAAGTACCCATTTACCGGACATTTTGGTAACACGCATGGGGTCCGTCCGTTCTCGGAGTGGGGGGGGGGGGGGGCTTCATCCCCTCGCTAGTGTGGTTACAGTGCAGTTGACCGAAGGCCGGCGAGACCGAAAACCATAAATTGTGTGAATTACACAACATGCAGTACATATGCTTGCGTACACACATTTGGCTTTTGGTTGTATTTGTTATGACCGTAAATGTTGGTGCTTTTGATCCCTAGGCATATAAAGGTTATATAATAATTATGGGGGACAGTAAATTCAAAGAAAATACCAGAAATCCTAAATCAGTTTTACCAAAAAGGTAAACTTGTGATGAAATATGAAATCTGAAAATTAATTACTCTTTTCATTTATGAGTAAAATCACACCACCATAAATTAGCTCATTTCATTGTGATGACAAGTTGATGATTGGGATTTCAAAATGTTACTAGTATAATGTGAGGGGGAAAATGCCGATAAACCTCTCCTTAATAGTGAGAAATGATATGTGTCCTGGCTGCTTTAAATGCAGAAATAATAAATATGCTTAGTTGAAGGACAGATATTAAAATGCAACATTTGTACACGCTTAAATTTACTTGCCTCAATATACAGGGCGTATCATAATAAAGGATATTGAAGTTTAATGACGATTTATATGAAAACTACTGATTTCATAATCAAGCATTTTGTGTCTGTTGTAAAGGACAGAATGTCCTCTTTTTAATGACACCCGATCATACTACTACTGTCACAGTTGACTGAATAACAAAGCATTGCTGTCCACCATGTGAAAGGTGCACTGTGACAAGTTAGCATTCACAGATAAATTCTAAAGATTAGTGCTTGTGTCAGCCCAGACATATTGAAATGCTGAACAATGAGTGGATTATGTGTCTAAGAAGGAAATGTTATCAAACTTGGCACAGTGCACCTTTCACATGGTGGACAGCAATGCTTTGTTATTCAGTCAACTGTGACAGTAGTAGTATGATCGGGGTGTCATTAAAAAGAGGACATTCTGTCCTTTACAACAGACACAAAATGCTTGATTATGAAATCAGTAGTTTTCATATAAATCGTCATTAAACTTCAATATCCTTTATTATGATACGCCCTGTAGACGTCGATGTAGAAAGTCGAGACAGGTCTCATCACCCATTATTAGTATATTATTAATGACTGCTTTGAGAGAAATAGTTGTTTTTATACGCTCAAGGGAAGGTTACAATTGTGCTATTGCCCGAGGCGCGGGCAATAGCACAATTGTAACTTTCCCTTGAGCGTATAAAAACAACTATTTCTCGAATATTAAAGCAGTCATTAATACTTTTATATGCCGAAAAAAGTGCCAACTTATGACACCACCTTGGCCTTTCTAGGTACGGTTTTTTATGAGTGTATCTTTGAGTTTATTTCTAGTCTGACTCTAAGCAAGATATTTTTAAAATTTAGGGGGGGGGGGGTGGGCCCCTGTGGGGAACATGGAGAAAAACTTGCACTTTCATATGACACCTCACTTATTGAGTATTACCTTCAGGATCACGAGCAATATTGGTTTGAATCTCATTTTGGAATTAAAACATCGACCAATTTAGCATTAGTGCGCGCAATGCACTTGGACTGCATAGATCTAGATCTAGAGATGTGTGCAATCTCTATGGGAAGGTTTTAGCACACAGTATTTTCATGGAGACTTTCACGTACCCTTTTGGTGTTCTTCAGAATTAATAAAGTCTTGCATTTGATCATCATCAGGAAGTTGAAATCTTGGGAGAGTTTCTTCAGCCATTTTTGCCTTGTTTGGAATTCAGTACGATCGAGATTTCCGTACGGTCGTCTGCGCTGCGCTCTGTATTAAAAAATTGGTAAATTAAGCTAGCGACCAATTCTTCGCACATGTACACGTATGTATGGTATCCGCGATCGCTCAAACCAGTTTTTAAGCAAGACTGAACTATTCCCGGTAACTTGAATTTTACCCTCGAACTATTACATGGGCGTGGCATTTTTCGTTTATTTACGGGAATGGCTAAAACCATGACTGCAATTTCGACCAATCAGATGGCTGGATTTCTTAAGTGAGGTATATAATTCGCAATATCATGCAGAGTTTTTTTGTATTATGTAGCCCGTAAAATATTGTTGGGGGCAGATAATTAGAAGAACTCGATATTCGAAAACTAAAAATGTTTGCAAGATTTTGACCCGTACTGTCCAACCCGTTAAGTGTTAAAAAGTGAGGAAGTTGGTTATCTATCGAATGTCAGATATCTTGAAGAGTTTATGAAATAATAGTCTCTCACATAACACTGTTTAATATCGAGACTAAGGATACGTAGTAGAAGCTAAAATCTTATTTTCTCTTTCAAACAGAGTTTATATATTAATAGTCTGACTGAACAAACTGTTATCTCCAAGAGCATTTTTGATAGGGCTCCTTTAAAGCTTATCTGTACTAGTTTATAGAAGGGATTAGCCCACTCTGTAAGGTCACTGGACAGGTGGTTATCTCATCAACTCAGCTCTCAATTAACATAAGAAAAAGAGGATCATGTGGGACCAATGGTCACCGATTAGGCATTGTTTTCTAAATAGAGGGAGCAAGTAGCTACAAGTAGGACAGTGTGGCTTTAACATTAGCAAAATTAATGACAACCCTTCCACAGCTGCAATGATGCACACACATTAGAGGTATCACAATGAATCTGAGTGGAATAGGATATTTATAATCATTTGTTATTGTCTATATAAATAATGTCAGCCATGACGCTGCCCAAGTTTATCCCAGATAGATAGCTTACGTTATATTATGTACACGCGCGAAGTCTCGCGGACCTTCAGTCAAGTGGGCAGACCCCAATAGTGCCTCAATAGAAAGAAAGGTCATACAAATTCATTTAAACTAACATGTATAATTCGATTATCAAAAATTATTCAAGAAAGTAAAAAAAAAATACAAATAAACAATGACAACATACTGTGACAAATCAATATTAAATTAACTCGAAGGTACATCACTGCGACCAAAAGGTACATGTGAGAATTTCTTCTTACATGATAACAGATTTTAATGTTGCGCAAATAATATATCTCTTTTTAGGTGCATTTAACATGAAATCATTCAGCATGAATTTAATTCAGTAAATTTAATTTCATCAGAGAAATGCATGCTAATGGTGAAAATAGAAAATGTTTTGTAAATCAAATTAGATATGAGATAACCATCTGTTTGGAACCTTCTTCAGAAGAATGTATGTACAATGGCTTGTAGACTCGGACCATAAAGCCTGTGGGATATCTAATTTTACTGATTACATTTAGAAAACCTTTCCATGTGAATGATGGTGTAAAATCAACGTGGGATGATGGAAACTTACTTTCTTTGTTAGAATTTGAATAATGTATTCACAGATTCGGGTTTAAAGATACAGGTGAGTTCTGGTAATGCGATTGCATTGTGAAAGAAAAGGTGTGGAATGGATCAGAAACAGTTGATCATGTAGCATGTAAGTATTGGTGTGCACTGCAAGGTTCTGGAGTCATCAAGATCATAATAAATTTGGCCGAGTCTTGGTAAAGTAACAAGCACTGTACACAGAAAGCTATATATGGGCTAGTACTACCTTGATTTCCTTGTTTTTCTATGCTCATTACTCAGCCAGTATACATTTTCTTCCAAAATTGTTTGGCACATGTCATTTATTTGTAATCTTGAACATTCAGTGTAAGTTTCGTTTGATTCTTTAAGAATTATTATTATTTTTTTTTACCAGAACTGGAGTTTATCTTAAAGCATAACAGGTAGGCAACACAAATTATCATTAGGTTTACAAAAATACTATTTTTTCTTGGAATTTCTTACGCAAGTGTCGACTGGTAAAGTGGGGCTTTGTGGTCGTTCTCAATAAAGGCCCCTTTACCAACGAGGAACTTCATCATGCGTACATCTCCTTTAGCTGCACTGCACCCTAACAGTGTTATGCCCGGCACTGCCTCATAATGAATCTAGATGCAAAGAGACAGAGAAAACTACTATTAATAATCTTTTCACGGACAGCTTTTCCTCAACTCCCATGTACGATAGGATTTGCTGTACACAGTAAAAACGCTGTTTAAAAAAGTGATGTTCACTTACAGTTGTACACTATCTTAAACAACAGTTGAACAAATTGTAAACAATGTTGCTCGAAACGAAAGTAATTTTGTTAAACATTCGTTGTTTAAAATTTAATGACTGCTATATTTACTATACGAGAGCTTTTAGACAGTGTTGTTTACATATGACGTCATGTGTCTCGTGCCAGTAAAGTGCGCGCTGGCTAAAAGCTTTATTTCACATTGTTATGTTTAGAAACAGGTTCCTTGAAACTAACATGCAATTGAAATTAACATGCCACTTAGAAATGCAGTGCTGCTGTTCAGGCACAGCTCATTGTTATTCATATTAGATGCATACACACAATGCAAGTATATGCAAGGGTCTTCTGTTGACTACACAGATTGATACATATGTAAAAGCACATGGACATTGAGTCTGGATTAAACTACCAAAGCAACCACACGTGTTTCTGCAGGCTCCATATTGTTTGTCTCTATACTTACATTTATTTAGCTTAATAGTTTTTACTTTCCAACCCACAACACAACACACATCATGGCCGACCAAGCTACCGACGCGCTTCTAAGTGACTGGGGATTCAATGTCTTAATTGAAATCACTTTTCTATTAACCAATTTGAAGTTTTTAACTTATAGCGTAAGTTCACAGTTACAATTTTCAGTATCTGTACGCAAATGTCAGAATAAAGGTAGACTTAAAATCGTCGCGTCATGCAGTGCGGCACTGATCGCGCACTCGTTTATAACGTGTGCTAAATTCCTTGCCATATAGATTGCATGTATCCCTATATATGCAGTTTATACGTGCGTGCATGCGCGCTCATGCAAAATGGGCACTGTTTTGGCGCTAATTCATGAATTGCAGAATTACCCTACCATATTGTAGTCTTGTAGTCTTCATATAACTATATAGAGACCCAGAAGTAGTGGTGCACTTATTCAGAGTATCAAACCCAAATTATACCCCATTATACAACCCTTTTGTTGTAAACAACCCCCACTGAACAACAGCTCCTTTTTAAACAACTTTCTTTAAACAACCCAGTTGGTGTAAACAACCCCCACTGAACAACAGCTCCTTTTTAAACAACTTTCTTTAAACAACCCAGTTGGTGTAAACAATTCCCACTGAACAACAGCTCCTTTTTAAACAACTTTCTTTAAACAACCCAGTTGGTGTAAACAACCCCCACTGAACAACAGCTCCTTTTTAAACAACTTTCTTTAAACAACCCAGTTGGTGTAAACAATCCCCACTGAACAACAGCTCCTTTTAAACAACTTTCTTTAAACAACCCAGTTGGTGTAAACAATCCCCACTGAACAACAGCTCCTTTTTAAACAACCGTCTTTAAACAACACCAGTTGTTTAAATTGTGATTTTAAACAAGTTGTTCAAAATGTTGATCAACTAAGTGTTTAAACTTTAAACAACTCGAGTTGCTTAACATTTTAAACAACTCTTAGATCAGGTCACCCGTTAATCAAGAGTTGTTTAAACTTTTAAACAACTTGTTCACAAAAATTTTAACTGTGTATCTATGATATTAATGCTTTATAAACTCTTAAATTTAAAATCGCATGAGGAAACCAAGATCCAGCTCATTAACCCCCTCCTTTTGACACCTACGTGGCATAACTAATATGTATACATAAGCCGAACATGTGCTCCCTTTTAAAATTGGTTTAACCTTTCTTTCTTCTTTCTTCTCCCTTTTTTTTTGTTGTTACAGAATTCGAAAATATAGGAACACCCCAAACATTTGATGACTTTTTTTTCTCTTTGGTACCCCCTCCCCCTTTACAGAATTCTAGATCCGACCCTTATTACTTACCCATTCTGGATGTATAGCCAAGATACGCTCCATCTTGTTGATATCACCTGCTTCTGCATGAATCATGATGCTCCATTGAGGATCCTGCATGGCCCGAGGGAGACCTAGAGGCAAAGGTAAAACAACGTCATATAAAGCTTGTAACGAATGCTCGCATAATCACGTTTCACGTTTTGAGTACTTTCGTAGATACAATCTAATGAAGCATTTGCCATACTTTTTATAGTCACGGCAGTGATTTAAAAAAAATTGCGATATATGACGATATTCGGGCACCTCGCTAACAAAAGAGATATTCGGGCACCTCGTTGACTAATTATGGCACCTTACTGTTTGAAAATAAAAAGCAGTTTCTGATAAAAAAAATTCACGAAATTGAGGTTTATTTCATTATAGATGCAAAAATAGTTTAACGAATTTCTCTCGCGGCATCGCTAGAGATGTCTTGAGGTTGTTGTGGCACTTGTTGAAAAACGCTAATCTAATTTTCGAGGTGTAAGGTTGAGCCAGTAAATCACGGATTCTCAGGTTGTGGGAGTACGCGACGTGACTCTTTTCTATTAAACCCTACATTTTACCGGTTTCAGACATAGGGGAATGTGCATAACTATGGAACGAAGTTTCTATTCACAAGGCTTGCAGACAAGTCCACAAGTCCGTTTCTATTAAATGGAAATACAGATCATACAATATCTAATCTAAAGATCTATGAATTATATTTAATTTTCTACAGTATGAAGCAAATCCGATTGCTTCCGGAAGTGATGTTGATTCCTTTTTAAAAAATAATACACAGTTAAAATTTTTGTGAACAAGTTGTTTAAAAGTTTAAACAACTCTTGATTAACGGGTGACCTGATCTAAGAGTTGTTTAAAGTGTTAAGCAACTCGAGTTGTTTAAAGTTTAAACACTTAGTTGATCAACATTTTGAACAACTTGTTTAAAATCACAATTTAAACAACCGGTGTTGTTTAAAGACGGTTGTTTAAAACGGAGCTGTTGTTCAGTGGAGGTTGTTTACACCAACTGGGTTGTTTAAAGAAAGTTGTTTAAAAAGGAGCTGTTGTTCAGTGGGGGTTGTTTACACCAACTGGGTTGTTTAAAGAAAGTTGTTTAAAACGGAGCTGTTGTTCAGTGGGGGTTGTTTACACCAACTGGGTTGTTTAAAGAAAGTTGTTTAAAAAGGAGCTGTTGTTCAGTGGGGGTTGTTTACACCAACTGGGTTGCTTAAAGAAAGTTGTTTAAAATGGAGCTGTTGTTCAGTTGGGGTTGTTTAAACCAACTGGGTTGTTTAAAGAAAGTTGTTTAAAAAGGAGCTGTTGTTCAGTGGGGGTTGTTTACAACAAAAGGGTTGTATAATGGGGTATAATTTGGGTTTGATACTCTGAATAAGTGCACCACTACTTTTGGGTCTCTATATAGGTATATGAAGACTAGGGTAATTCTGCAATTCATGAATTAGCGCCAAAACAGTGCCCATTTTGCATGAGCGCGCATGCACGCACCTATAAACTGCATATATAGGAATGCATGCAATCTCTATGGCAAGGAATTTAGCACACGTTATAACCGAGTGCGCGATCAGTGCCGCACTGCATGACGCGACGATTTTAAGTCTACCTATATTCTGACATTTGCGTACAGATACCGAAAATTTTAACTGTGAACTTACGCTATAAGTTAAAAACTTCAAAGTGGTTAATAGAAAAGTGATTTCAATTAAGCCATTGAATCCCCAGTCACTTAGAAGCGCGTCGGTAGCTTGGTCGGCCATGATGTTGTGTTGTGGGTTGGAAAGTAATAACTATTAAGCTAAATAAATGTAAGTATAGAGACAAACAAGATGGAGCCTGCAGAAACACGTGTGGTTGCTTTGGTAGTTTGATCCAGACTCAATGTCCATGTGCTTTTACATATGTATCAATCTGTGTAGTCAACAATTAAAGACCCTTGCATACACTTGCATTGTGTGTATGCATCTAATATGAATAACAATGAGCTGTGCCTTAACAGCTGCACTGCATTTCTAAGTGGCATGTCAATTTCAATTGCATGTTAGTTTCAAGGAACCTGTTTCTAAACATAACAATGTGAAATAAAGCCTTTAAGGCCCGGTCACACAGGGAGGACGCATGGGGAACGCACGGCCAGCGCATTGGAAATTTGCAATTTGGGCCAGTGCGTTGTCGTTCGCTAGGCGTGCGTCATCATTCGTTACTCGTTCGTCGAGCGCGCTGGACCAACGCTGGACCAGCGCTATGCATGCGTCGTCATTCGCTGTGTGCGTCGGGATTTTTTGAGCATGCTCAAAAACGTGCGCCGAGCTCGACGCATGAATATACACGCCAAAGGCACGCCAGACATGCGCCGGAGCGCGCTAGACCAGCGCCAGACATGCGTGGAGCGCGCTAGACCAGCGCCAAACAAACGCGGAGCACACGCCCTGTATACGCACAGCGCGCTAGCTACACGCCGTGCATTTTGTGTCAGCTCGCTAGCTTTTCCAAAATTATGACAAAAGTTAGGCACACGTTCTTTTCCGATTTCCAATGCGCTGGCCGTGCGTCGTAGAACGCGGTGCATGCGTGGACCATTCGTCCAGCGCGCTAGCAACACGCTGTGCATTCGTGGAAGTTGTTTTCATGTGCGCTCTGTGTGCGCCCTGTGTGCGCCCTGTGTGCGCCCTGTATACGCCCTGTACGCGTCCAGCGCGCTATGCATTTGGTGTCAGCTAGCTGTATAGCTTCGACAAAAGTTGGGCGCACGACAACGCACTGGCCAAAATTGCAAATTTTCCATGCGCCGGCCGTGCGTCCCCCATGCGTCCCCTCTGTGTGACCGGGCCTTTAGCAACACGCACTTAACTGGCACGAGGCACATGACGTCATATGTAAACAACACTGTCTAAAAGCTCTCGTATAGTAAATATAGCAGTCATTAAATTTTAAACAACGAATGTTTAACAAAATTACTTCTGTGTCGAGCAACATTGTTTACAATTTGATCAACTGTTGTTTAAGATAGTGTACAACTGTAAGTGAACATCACTTTTTTAAACAGCGTTTTTACTGTGTACCAAAGGGTGAATTGCAAGGAAATGTGCTATTAATAGAACTTTCAATTATTGATTCATGATTTTTTAAATTTATTCATTCATTAATTAATTTCATTTATGTTTCTATTAATTGTTTATAATATTAAAGTTTGCATCCTCTTTGGATGTAGATATTAAACCAAATTGTAATGTGTAATCGTAAATGTAATAAACTATTATAAGACCTAAAACTTAAAACTTACCACGCAAATTTTCGTCAAAATTTTCATATTCTGGTTTAGGAGCACGAAACCGTTCTGGAGTCAGGTTTACAGAATTGAAAACGAATTTGAGATTGCCCTTGATTTTGACGTGAATATCCGATCCGTCAATCTCTACCACCTTTCCAACTGTACCGATGGCCTAAAACAGGAATATAATGATCATGATTATTGGGCTACATAATTGTTTTGTTTGTAATGTGGAAGTAAATAGAAGGATGGTGGGCTGATATCATTGCCCGTATATTAACTTCGTTTGCGACCTAAGCGAGAGAGTTATAACAAAATATAGATTCGATATGGCATAACAAAAACGAGCATCTGTGATGCCGGAATATAGGAACCTTGTTAGTTCTCGAGGGGAGGGGTTCGCAGAAAGCAGCTCCCCTCTCCCGCCTCGCGCACCCGTATTCTATAGCTAAAATAGTTATATAGACAGAAGTCACCTGTTTCATAGCTGCCGTCCATCCGCCATGTCCAGACTGTAATCTTTTGACCATCTCGATATCATCACTTATCCGGACAAGCTGACCGATACTTAATGGATGAATCTAAAATGAACAGGTGGGTAGAAATGGAAATGGTAAGGATACTAATGATATCAAGAAAATTGTTGATAATTATGTGTCCCCGTAGATTTGGTAATTATTTAATAACAATAACAACAACAACAATTGCAACAACAGCAAAAGTAATGATGATAATTATTATACTAATACTAATGATAATAGTAGGTTATTGTTAAGCACTCATGTCTGTCAGGCTTGACACTCCTGGAGCTGCTAAATTAACATGGCTGCCGGTATGGTACCTGAGCATTTCTAGGAAAGGAATGAATTCCTGCCAGATACCAAGTAACCTCATTTGGGTCGAGCGTGGCAAATGGAGATTTATGTCTTGCAAAAGGAAATTAATGCTGCGGTGGGGATTCGAAACCCGTCATCTGTTTGGTTACAGAACCACCGTATCACGACACCTTTATAATTAGGCCATATTTATCAAGAAAAATATGATACAAGCATTTGTATAGTCAGTTAGGTATAAGCAAGGCCTGCTTACCTTCCTTAGAGCTGCAGAATTCATTCTAAATGTTTCTTGGCTGTCATGGAAAGTCACTGTGAAGTCACCAGTATTCGTCCTTTTAAGCACATATCCCTTCTCGAGAAACGTCTGTGTATAGACAGAGAAAGTAATAGTAAATATGTTTGCCTATTCCATTTTCTGCATTTTTATTTTTAAAGTTACATTTAAGTCGGGTAGTCTCTCCAACAGGGCAGCAATGGGAACATAATATATTTTGTGAGAGAGAAAGAAAGATATTTATAACCATGAATATAAAATTCGAAATAAGTTCTTTTTAACGAATATCATCTCAGCAGCGTTCGGATAGTTCTTCAGGTGCTATGTCGGGGCTGTATTAAAGCGTTTTCATAATTGATAATAATCATTACTTCGAATGTTTTCAACCATTGAATTTTGATAAAATTGTCCAATCAAAGTTTCATGTTTGCAATAATGACAATGAAGTAATTTAACAAAAAAATCTTCGCACAGCTACTTTAAGTGCCATGTTACAAATTTTTAAATTCACTTGTTACGAATAATTGTATTACAATAGTCAGAATACGGATTGCAGGCGCGGATCCAGGGGGGGGGCCGAGCGGGCCTTGGCACCCCCCCGCCCCCCCAAAAAAAAATGAGAGAGAGAGAGAAGGAAAAGAAGAGAAAGGGAAAGAGGAGAGAAAGGGAAAAAAGAGGAGGAAGAAGAAAAGAAAGGAGGGAAGAAGGAGATCGGGGGGGGGGGGAGGACTTGCCTCCCAGGCTGTTGCCTCACCCCCCCAATCAAAAAATAAAAGAGAAGGAAGGAAAGGGAAAGAAAAAAAGGAGAAGAGGAGATAAAGGGAAGGAAAAAAGAGGAAGAAGAAAAGAAAAGAAGGGGGATATCAGTTGCAATTTTCCCGCCAACAAGTTGTGAATCGGGGGGGGGGGGGGCAAAAGGCCCTTGCTCCCCCCCCGTCCCCGCTAAAAAAAAGAGAGAAGGAATGGAAAGGAAAAGAGGAGAGCTAAAAGGGAACAAAAAAGAGGAAGAAGAAACGGGAGAAAAGAAGGGGAGATCAGTTGCGGTTAATCCCGTAAATAATCTGTGGAGCGGGGTGCATGGGGATTCCACCTAGGACCCTAAGGCGGGCACTTAAATGCTCATCTGACAGAAATTTAAGGACTAAAACCCCTGATTTCTGGGGGCTCTGCCCCCTGGACCCCACGCCAAATATTGTCCTGCCAGTGTCACAAAATAATAAGGTATCAAAAAATGCTCATCTGACCGTAATTAAACCCCTGAGCTTCCGGGGGCTCTGCCCCCTAGACCCAACCAAGATCCCTAAGGCGTGCCCCTTGATACTCATCTGACCGTAATTGAGTGCCTAAAACCCTTGAGCTTCCGGGGGCTCCGCTTTCTGAACCCCACGCCAATTAGTGACCTGCCAGTGTCACAATTAGGTATCAAAATAACGGTCATCTGACCGTAATTAAATGCCTTAAACCCCTGAACTTCCGGGGCTCTGCCCCCTGGACCCCACCTAGGGCCCTAAGGCGGACGTCTGAATGCTAATCTGACCGAAAATTATTGCCTTAAACCCCTGAGCTTCCGGGGGCGGACAAGGTATCAACATATGTTCATCTGACCGCAGGCGCGTAGCCAGGGGGGGGGGGGGGGGTGACGGTGAGGTGGTCCCCCCAAAAAAGAGAGAAGTGAAAAGGAAAGAGGACGTAGGAAGAAAAGGGAGTAGACAAAGAAGATTTTTGAAATTCAGACAGAATTAAGAGTCGAGAACGGTACAGCGAATCGTCTTCTTTCTCTAATAATTTAATAAAACGTGAAAGCTTCCGCGCTTCGCGCAGGAAGGTGGGGTGGAACTTAATTCAGACAAGGATTAGACAAGGAGTCGAGAACGGTACAACTAATCGTCTTCTTTCTCTGATGATTTAATGAAACGTAAAAGTTTCCGCGCTTTGCGCGGAAGGGGGGAAACTAAATTCAGACGAGGATTATTTTCGAGAGCGGTACAACGAATCGTCTTTTTCTCTGATGATTTAATGAAACGTAAAAGCTTTGCGCAGGAGGGGGAAACTGAATTTAGACGAGGATTAAAAGTCATAACGGTACAACGAATCGTCTTCTTTCTCTAATGATTTAATGAAACGTAAAAGCTTCCGTGCTTCGCGCAGGAGGGGGAAAACTGAAGTTAGACGATTTAATGAAACTTAAAAGCTTCCGCGCTTTGCGCGGGAGGGGGGGGGGGAACATTATTCAGACGAGGATTATTTTTGGGAACGGTACAATGAATCGCCTTCTTTCTTTAATAATTTATTGAAATGTCGAAGGTTCCGCGCTTCGCGGTGGAGGTAGGGGAAAAACTCGCCCCTCCCTGTACCCAACCCCCCCCCCCCATTACGTCACTGCTGGTCACTACTACGTACCAATATTTGGCACGCATAATTTCAAATTTGGGCCTCCCCCTAAGAAATTCTGGATCCGCACCTGGCGAATTTCATATATTAGTTGCTGCGAGGTAGGCCGAAAATTGTAAAATTAGAATTGTTGCTTGCAAACGAGTTACGAAACATATTCTAGTGACATTTTAAAAGTCTTTGTTATTATTGTTTAAATGGTCCTCATACTATGTTGAAGAGCAAATTGTGAAGCGCTTTGTAACTGCACGGCTATACCAACTACTCTGTAGATTGGATTGGATTGGAGATTAAATCTTCAGTCATATGTAGCATTAACATGTCACCATGAGAAATACCCACATGAAGCACTAGTATGTAAAAACGTTTCTCTGCGAACTCGATTCAATGTACAGTCATACTTGTCTATTGAGGCCACCCATGGGAAATAGAGAAAGTGGCTTTTGTAGACAGGTGACCTTTCTAGACAGGTTCTACGAAATATATTTTTTTTCTCTAGGGTGACAAAATACATGGCCGCTATATACAGGTGGCATTTACAAGAGATTGGGCGCTAAGACAGGTATGACTTTAGTTTACTAACAGGGGCAGCGGTGGGATATACATTTACTGAATTTATAAAGAAATTTTCCTCTCTACTATCAAGTTCACTCATTATTTGAATGGCAAAACATGAACGAATTATTTTTTTGAAATATTCGAAATAAAAAGAATTTTGTGGGGCAAAAGCTAAAAATTGCAGCCTCAAGATGTTGTTTGGAAGGACTAAAGGAACCTAAATCTCTCCAACACTTGATGAAAGCATTAGATATTAGTGAATATAGACTTATACTCACTTTGGTCATATCTGGCTTCCACAATCCTCTGCGCTTGTGGAGTTCCTCCAATTCTGCAGGAGTGGCAGTTACCAGGACGTTGTCACCTTCATTCACTCGCTCCAGATCCCCTATGATAAGCGAACAACTAAGGGTAAACAAATCTGTTCTATATAGCCTAGCTCTTTCTTCTTTTACATGTCTCAAGGAAAACATCTATTTTTTTTCTTCTGATTTTTTCTTTTGTTTACATGTTTCATAACCCAATAAGCGACAGTGGTAATAGCAATCTCAATTCCAATGATGATGATGATGATATGGATATTTATGACTGTACAAATGACCATATCTTTCCGGGTCTATTTACATGATTTAAGAACATATTCTTTCTCCTGATATCAATATTTATTGGTAGGCAGGGTAACCCCCGAAAGAATACCTGCGATCTGCAACTTCAGCGACCTCTTCACGGCTTGCCATACAATCAGCTGTTTTAACGGGACGGAAATGCGTTTCTCAACTCAGCTGGTTGTATGGGAAGCCGTCATGTGCACATTTTGCACGGCTGCAAGCATTTTGACGGTTGTAAAAGTAGCAAAGTTTGAAAAAATATTGCCTCACAAAAATATCTGTAGAATCAAAACGTCTTACCGAAACACTTATAATCTTGGTGTCATTTTACTCGGAAAAAACAGAAATCAATGGTGTCTTCGAAGGTGGTGTCTTCGAAATGGTGTCTTCGAAATTGCAGATCCCAGGTGTTGCAGACTTTGTGGAGCACCTCGTATATACAACTACTTGGAAAAATACGAGATAAAATAAATTGTCTTAATTTTTAAACTCTAAGCACTCTAAGACATTGCTATTCTCACCAAGATTTGCTAGGTGTCCAGCATACACAAAACCTCCTGACCCTGGTAGTGTACATGAGATTTTATTGAGGTCTACCCTCTCTCGCCCAAAAGAGAACTCAACCGCTGCTCGTACATTGACTTTATCCTCAAGTGTCTGTCCATGTCTGACTACTGTCCCGAGTAGCTTATCTAGGAGGAAATAAAATAAGAGCTCTGATAGATATCATTTGTATAGAGAATTTCTTGATTATTCTTCATTTCTGTCGCCAAATGCAATTATTTGGAGATTTCATCTCGTTATATGTAACAGACATGTGCGATGAACCCTTTTTATTAAATACTATGATAGCCACTTTACATGTTCATGTGCATTGCCAACATCTCTATATCAAGACGAACCTGATTCAAGTCTCTTGTGCCACTGGGGATGTCTGACAACCTTTGCTCCAGCAAAGCTTCCTTTAAGAGCAAGACGAGGAGATGATGATCTTGGTAGCATCTTAGGACTGCATCAATTAAAAAAAAAATCAATATTGAACGCTGGAAACTGGTATGTGTCAACTTGTAGCAACGGAATATTGGTAGATTTGGGTCTGACTTCGATTGTCTGATTTTCAAAGACACTAACTAAGATTCAAACATGTTTAATAAACATTCTTATTGGTGTGTAGGGGCCGTTTCATGAATCCGTCATAAGTCTAACTTTGTGGAAATCCCATTGATATGTGTTAAATAATTAACACGAATTTTCTACGAAAATTCTTTGAACTTAGACTTATGATGGTTTCGAGTTTACTTGCCCCAGGAGGTTTTCTTTTATCGGCATTAAACAAAACACAATACAAGTAATTTCAAATGTAATTCATCAAACCAATGTACCCCCTGGCTGTTGGGACTCAACTGATTTTAGAATGGGGTAAAAAAACAACAACAATCCCATTTCTAAACGACACTAACGACTGTTAAATTAAGTATAATACACTTCGCTTTTAGGAGATATGGCACGCAGAGAAAACAAACTCAGTGTAGATAAGTGGGACTAGATAAGATCGTTCCAGTGTAAGACAAGCTTGATATAGTAAGAGATGTACAAACAGGAAGAGTAATGTTGTACTGTTTCAAAAACCTGATATATTATGATGACCAAAATGCCATTTCTCCCTAAATTGCCCGCAGTAATAGCCGATTTCTTGGTCTTTCATCACCCAAATCCCACAATATACCTGTACATGTGGAGTGTAATATACAAGTGCATACCCCATGGATGTTTTGTCTGAAGACAGCACTCTCATGAATATATGACTGAGATCATGTTCATCATTCATGTAGCAAGTGGTACAGAGGTCAAAGGCGTAGCACTCGGTGCATCTCCATCGCATCCCCCTAATCTCATCAACGTCGCATCCGTCACACCAGACCTTTGGATGACACACTAATACAAAGGGGAAAAATACCAATGTCAACAAAATCTAACGGAAAATAATCTCAATTTGACCTTAATTTGACCATATCGTAACACTGACCAAGAACGTTAAGTTTGCGAGACAATGTAGAGCAAGGGCTATGAGCGCCCATTAGAAGCGGACATAGGCGGTATACAAGAAGCCATCGTCATCAATATTAGGGACTTTTCTATTGGCACGTCGACATAGTGGACTGATACGTGTGCCTGCTCAGTGCCTTAAAAGTAAGTCTACTATGTCGACGTTCAAACCTTCAAAGGACGTGACACGTAGCAGTCCACTATGTCGACGTGCAAATCTAAAAGTCCATAATATCGTCACAATGCCATGAGCACCGAAAGGTGGACCTGTACAAGTAGCCACTATTATTATCAATGTAATACAGCTACTAATTAATTAAAATTATAGTCCACACATTAAGTTTGTTTGCTCCCTTTATCAAGCATATGAAACGCCGGAACCCTGGTTGGGTGAAATCTTAAATGGAATATTGGCAATTGTAGTAGTTGTATCCGGCATTACAGAGAAGAGGAAAAGTCAAAGGAAGAACATAGAAGAACATTGTAACGGGCATGAGTTTATGTATAAAAGAGAGGTACGAACCATATCAAAACATCAATAGTTGTCGAGGTTTCGTGGTTTAGTAATTTAAAGGTAAAGACCAGTATTGGAAACGCCCCAATTTCAAAAAATGAAATGGAAGCTCTCATTACCAATCATGTGAAAGAATATGTTTTGACTAATACATGATGATACAAAATTTGCCGGTAAACCGCCTACTAAATCATATATTTGGTAAATTTGTTTCTCTCGTGGTCTGTGAGAGATATAGGGTAGTCCCATATACATCTTTCTGTGTATAGTATTTGTAACTTTACGAAGAATGGGCCAAATTGCTTATCATTTTGATGATTCCAGAAACTTGCAGATGCTAGATGCTAGATGATCAACCTTTTCTGATCGATTCCACAACGTTTCTTTCACAATGCTATCGCATGACCATAACTGGTCTTTACCTTTAATGTATTAGCTAATTTAATTGACTGTTATTCCTAGGGTTCGATTTTGCCTGTCACTAACATTCTTTAGTAAGAAAATAATCTATATTTGCCACTCTCCACCCAGGTGTAAATAGGTACCTTGCCATTGCTGGGTTAATACTAATTGCAGGGCCCTCACGGAGAACAGCATTGAAACGGATGAGGCTTCCCTGGGTTAACAAAAGTATTAGTAACCATATGTGGAACTACCTGCATTAGCTGTATCAATGATCCTGAGATCGTAACCCTGGTCATAGCCAGCCCGGTAGAGACCTTTATCTCCATTGTCCCACTGAACGAGTACCGAGAGTTTTGGAAAATGTGGTTGACGTTCATCATGTAGTCTCAGAACCGTTCCTGCGTATCCCTTTCCGCCATCTTGGTTCTTGTAAGTCCAATCAGGCCCTCGGATGACACGGAAACCTGGTTTTACAGGGGTTTCCATTTGTGTTAACCTTCAACAGCTAAATAGAGGGCAGAAATGGGAAACATATAAGATAGATATAAAGGAAGAATGTTAAAAGAAATAGAAACATGTACTATATAGATTGAGAGAGGGTGAGATAAAGAGAGGGTAGAAGTCTATGTCATGTTCGGAGAGGTTTGCAGTTATCAACGTTTGCAGATAAATCCACTCTTTTTAATTTCATGCCATTTAAAGCAAGGATTATTCAAGGTTTATAATCATATTCGTTTATAATTCATCCTGTTAAAACATATCGTTTTTAACAAGATAAAAGGAAACCTCCATAATTGTCACAAATAATCCATCGTTATAGAGCAAGCATTGGCTAAGATCGAATAATGATGATTTCTTAAAATACTTTACATATTGTTCACTTGTTAACTTATCTACTCCTTATACCATTGTATACTTTATTTGCCATTTACCCGACGTTCGCCAAGGCAGTGTAAAGGCAGTTCGCTTGTTATTGTACTCAGTTATACGCCCACTATTCACTAACAATCCGCGAATAAGGTTTCTCACCGTGTACAATACTTCTTTAACCTTTGTTCACCATTCTGTTGTACCCTGTACCAGTGAGGCTTCTTACCATAGAAACGTCATTTTCACATTCCTTTGTCCTTCTGTAGGCCTTAACAATTTGTTTATCCATAAATAACATTCTAGTTCTGGAGAAGATCAAATATACATTATGACTGAAAATATATAAAACTCAAAATGATCACATCATTTCTTACTGGCTCTATAAATGCGTATAGATTGAATTTGGAATCCATCAAAACTTTGTTCTCATCGGCTAATAAATAAACGGAAATTCATGTAGAACTTCCTCCTTTTCTTTTTCTTTAAATTTCATTACAAAAAATTGTTTTAAAAGTAACCAATAGTTGAAATTGGAAAACCTATCCGCATTTTCTTTTTAAAAGTTACATCTTATTTTACATTTCAATGAAAATTGAACATAGGCACTCATTCACTCATCCAATTAAGATCTATTCATACAATTAACATGCAAGTTAGTTTCTTTCGTGCTTTTTTGAAATACAGGAAATAATACACACACGCACGCTCAACCTCACACACACACTTATCTAGTCATACACCCCAGGCGCATATAACCATTCTCTCTCTCTCTCTCTTCCATGTTTCTATTAACAAAAAAAGCAAATTGTAAACACACTTGTCTATACACCCACACCCATGCGCATATAAAATTCTCCCCTCTCTCTCTCTCTCTCTCTCTCTCTCTCTTTCATGTTTCTTTAAATCCATCACACAATCCATCACACACATCACATAAAACAAGGATGAATTACATGTTCTTTGCTTCCTTCTCCTCTCTGTCCAATTTTGCGTCACTGGCTTCATAAAATGACTTCTTTCAATACGTCTGTTGTTGATCAGTAATGGCGGCTTCTAAACCTTGCACACATACATGCATACAAGTACAGCCAATTCTCAATAGCTGTCTGCAGCGTATTGAATGTGTAGAGTGTTCACGGGGATTCCCCAGTATTGCGCAATACCAACTGGCAATAAATTCCGATCGTACACTGCTTACGCGTCCGTGTGTTATTTATCATACATTATAAAATGGGTTCAATCAAGGATGTAGCCAATGAGAAGCGTGAAAATGGATCACGTGATCGTGCACTATTTTTTACTATCTGCATGGTACCATCTGCATGGGGTTCATTTTGGTGATAACAACCGCGGATAAAGCTTGAGGGAGACATCTTATGGCCTCGCTAAGTAAGATTGTCAACCCATTTTATAAAACAAATAATACACAAGTAAATATTTTTTTAAAAAGTTTCTTTAAAGTCAATCAAATTATAAACATACCCACACACAAATACTTATCCAACACACCCCCCCCTCTCCTATCTCACTCTCTTATAAATATGTTCATAAGGAAATATATCCGGATCAAAGACAAGTTTAATCATAAAGAACAATAAGGATGAATTACATGTTCTTTGCTTCCTCCTCCTCTCTGTCCAATTTTGCGTCACTGGCTTCATAAAATCACTTCATCCATTAAGTCTGTTGTTGATCAGTAACGGCGGCTTCAAAACCTGGCACATACAAGTACAGCCAATTCTCAATAGCTGTCTGGAACGTGTTGAGTGCGTTAAGTGTTCACGGGAATTCCCCAGTCTTTCGCACTAACAACTGTGAAGAAATTGCCACCACGCAATGCTTACGCTTCCGTGTAAACTGATATCTATCATACAATGGCTTTTTTTTTGTTCTTACGCACCATAAGCACACTATGTATTCAGAATACACTGGTCTGACAAGCTTCAACGAATACTTATAATGTGGGATCCTGTGATAATTGTCATATTTTTTGTTATACACAAGTCATGTACAAAAAGTTTGTATACCATACTAATAGTAAACTGACATGAAAGTTATGTTAACAAAATTACTTATCAATTCAAATCAGTTTAAATTTTTTTTTTTATTAAAAACAAACGTGCGTCTCAACATAATGTTAAATTGTTTATAGTTTACAATCATTACAAAAAATAACAGTCAACACAATTTTACCAAATGTAGTTTTTACCTTCTCGGCTAATATTTTCCCTCAGTGAAAAGGAAACGTTTTGTTATTGAATAAAAAGTCTTTCCAATTAAAGCTTCATGCGTGATACATGTATAACTTGGTACGTCACATCTAAAATGGCTGCGTCCATGTCGTGTTAAAAGGCATAACATGATGCCAAGCAATCCACCGCCACACACACCGTCCCTTGTTGAACTAAGTGCATGACCGCGAGCTATTTAGTTTTGCCCCTCCTATTTTGTAAAGTAGCAAACATAACTTTAAAAGAAGCACATTTGGATACGAATGTTGAGCCATTAGGGCTCATCAGCATATCTTAGATAAGTGTTGTTATAAACTCTTATTTAACATTAAGTACAGAGGACAATTCTCATCTAATTAGAAAGAAAAGAAAAATACAAAGCACATTATTGAAGTAATGAACTGTAACTGCATAACGAACAAAACAAAACAAAGAAAAAGTTACACAAACTTTCATAGTAATCTCTGACGATATCTAATAAAAAAGAAAGAAAAAAAAGAGCGTACTCTTTCATTTTCATAATGAAATGAAAAGGCATTTTTCTGTGGAAAATGAAACACTCCAGAACTGCAATGACTTGCCTACATATCAGGGTATTTCAGTTATTTCATAAAAAACAAAGCATTATTATGACTAAAATATGGGTACATCTTGTTTTGATATTAATAAATGATTTCTTTTCAGTTTTAATAGCATGTCCATTCAGACAAACAAAATAAAAAGGAAATCGAAAATTAAGGATTCTAGTACATTGATTAGACAGATACGTTCCTCCACATTTGAATTCGATCTGAAGATAATGCATCCTGCTTGTTTATCTACTACTCACACTGGATGAAAGTACTAAGTTTCACACTCATAACACCAGCTTCTACTTAAGCAACAACATGATAAACTGTTGTTAAAGGTACTATGTCCCATTTGCAGGCCAAACAAATGACAAGGTTAAATTCCAACGGCATTTGAAAGATAATACTAATGTAGAACTTCCCTAAAAAACGGGGGACTTGAAAATGTCATTAAGTGGGAAAATAAGGACTATTATTGAATCGACTTAAGAGCTATAGAGCCAGTAAGTAATAGTCTGATTTTCAGACCATTGTACCGAATGATCGTACTTTTTATGCTCCGCAAAGATTTAATCAGTTTAATTGTGGCCATTCCAAGAAGTGGGTTATTGATGTAGACAAATGCTCATGTACCCTTTACAGCTCATTTTATGTATAAAGAAGAAGAAAAGGCCAGTCAGTTACTCAATAGTGTCTGCCAGTGAAGTCTAGCAAGTAAACGGGTTTCCTTGCATAATTTGAATATTAGGATACTGCTAACGTTTAAATTTCACAGATAGGACATACATGACTTATTTATAATTCCTGCAAAGTTCTACAGAATTTGATGTTGGCTGCAAAAGGGACATTGTATCTTATACGGAGTAACCTGTCCTAGTTATAATGAGCATTGTTCTTTTTATTAATTTTGTTATTGAGATTTGGAAACATGGTGTTACAAAAAGCGGTTTATTTAAGCAGGTTTTGCCCTTTGCCTTTAGAGAAGAGATTTAAAATCAAACGTGCTATTTATTGTACAAATGGCATGAAATCTACTCAGTGATCAGGGATAAATAGTGTCGTAATATATTTTATAATAATTATGATCATTATCACAGTTGAAAAGACAAATAAATCGTCGATGATATCTCATATACAACGTCAGGCCAATAGGACATTTTCAAAATCTAATAAAAATTATAAACGTTTACCAAGTATTATAATTGACTGTATAACAATTGGCAAGATGCCTATTGCAAACGTCAGTTGTTGCTAGGTCAGACAAACTTTGTGACAAGCCCTAACAACACGTACTATGCAATTTACATGGTGAATTTTGAAATATAATTACATGTACTCGAAACGAATAATAACAATTAACTCAACAAAGACATATGTTTTAAATATGATTACTAGTGCATTACGGAAATGGCATTAAAGTCAATCTTTTTTTGAGGACATGCGAATCATGTAGTTTCAATGGACCCTTTGTCATAATACCCCAGCAATGATTTGAATTAATATTGATCACTAAAGTTGCACCGCCATGGGTAAACAAATGTGGTATTGAAATCTCAGCCTTCAAATTATTTAGTGGTAATACCTCTACACGTGCGATGAGAACCAATAGGCGTTAACCCTTATCATTGCAATGCCCTCGATAATTATGTACAGGAGTGGAAATCCACTTTGGGAGAGTGATATTACGGATCATTCTTCGTTTTGGAGAGGAAACCTACATCGAAAATAAAACACAGCGATCCACTATTAAACAAAAGAACTATTCAATCACTATGTTTGAATGTATTCGGTTCTAAAGGTAGCAATCCTTTACATTTATCCTAAAAAGGTTTCCACTCCTTTGCATTAAGAGGGTAAGGTCCCTACTGCAAGTCAACGACTGAAGAAATTGGCTCGCTGCAATATGGGCATTCAGGGATGAGCTCAGCAATGCTTCGGATGACATCATGACCACATGCGAAGGAGATTTTCTTCTTGACAAGGTGTTCCAGTGTCTTGACCCTGGACTGAAGGGTTTCAAGCTCTTCGTCTTTGCGCTTGATCTCAGTTTGTATGTTATGCAACTTGCCTATAAGGATATAAGATACAGAGAATAAAGAAATGCTACATTAACTCAAAATATATATGTTTGTATCTCTTCAGTTGACAGTCAAAATATTTCAGTCACTTGATTCCTTGACTATTTTAATCTTACTTGAACGCAAACTCATCACAATTTGAAATATTTTCCATTTTCAACTGCACTTTTCCCTCCTCAAAGATTTTCATGATTCTCGAAGCAGTATGGAAATCGTAACTACAGTAGGAGAAGTTAAGAAAAAACCATATCTCCACTATCAAATACTCATAGTGAATGAATAGCATCGAAATGTATATCCTAATCGGCATGACGGATTTATACTTTTGGACCTTCAGCACTGTTTTTTCTTCTCCAGATCGATGGCATCGCAATCCGATTCCATAGTTTTCCACATAAACTTCAGGAAACCGATTTGGGTAATGATTTCTGATTATAGTCCTCGTCATCGTTCTACTATAAAAAAAGGGATTATATATATCGATATCTGTAGCCTTGTGTTTTGAATCTGTGCTCTTTCTTTTAAAACAATCATTGGATTCTTCACCTGAAGATTTCTGCTGACTTCCTGAACCCGTTGCCAACTTCGCCGGGGAGTTTCCAGAGCTACCTTTCTTTGAACCTGATCTTACAGTGCTTTTCTGTAAGACAGACGACACAGAGCTGACCTTAGTTCCTTTGTTTTTGTTTGTCTTAGTCAGGGTACGTAGGGGGCGTTTGGATGCGCTCTGCTGTCTGGCGATGTCTTTCCTGTAAGCGTTTTAGAGATTGCAAACAAATTAAACAGTACGCTCATATTGTTACAGGGATAGACCGACTACAAGACAACAGTTCAGATTAATAGTAACGTGTTTTTACAACTGGCGTGAAGGCTATACTATACTATCTTTCAGTCAGATTTAAGTTCCTGAAGTTTGTTCATTAATATTCTAACGCACAAAATATATTTAGATTAAAAAAACTACAGAGATGCATCAGGACATATTAATATTGATAGGTCATGTTAAACGTGAACTTCTCTGCGATTTGAACTCTATTTGTTTTATGTTTCGTACAAATGACTTCTCATGTATGCAAAAGTAAGTGGTAAAAGTGATAGAGCAGGATGCCATAAAAATCATTAATTTTTATGATTGTGCACACTCAATTCTAATTTGTGAAAAGAAACCACATGACAACACTGTAATACCATTTGCATACTGGTACCGTAAAACTCTGCAAGCTGACTTTCAAATTTCTGAATCCACAATACCCCACAGTTATCAATACTTTCAGGTTCATGTAGTCTTACAACAGTTGATGAAACAGCATTGAATGCAAAATGTTTTATAGCACTATCCCTACTTGTAAAATACTCGTTTTTGAGGGGAAGTGTGACAGGGATGAATAGACCGATGTTTTTATGTAATCGTCCAGAGGACGAGTTGAGTGGGATGCTAAAAATGGTTCTCGAAAGAAGATTCAACATGTAATGGTTCCTGAATCATAACAACTTTGTGTTACTTTGTCGTCTGTTAAGTGAACAATGGACCTGTGAAAATAGTTGAAGGAAAGCAGCCGTAATAATATATACGGCTGAAAGTAGGCAAGTACTCGTATGTTTTGCCTTTACAACCAGTACACGTTTCCACAAAATGGCGCGTTTTTGTAGATTCTTTTTAAATTTTGGTGTTAATTTGATTTAACTGAATGAATACTAAAAGTTAACTGAAACTTTTAAAAAATTGTAGGAACTATATAGCCAACGGGAAGTTCACTCTAAGAATAAAGTCACAATGACGCTGATTCAAACTTTTAAATCACTTTCAAAACCGTCATTTATGGTGGATTAATGAATTCAATAACCAACAAAGTTTTTAATCATCAACGATTATCTAGTTTCGTTAGAAATTTTCATTTGAGTTTATTTTTTAAATCGATTTTTTTTTAAATCTTTTCAAAATTTAAATCTTGATTTATAAATCATGTCCATGTAATGTATTAAATTGCACTTTTTATGAAAAAATCATATCGTATGTCTTGTATCAAACGTATTTTATACCGTTTCTGACTTTGAATGTCAAGTAGAGGTTGCAGGATTGGATCCCGTTTTTGTTGAAGCATAGTTTTTATTTTCCACCTTGCACTATTGTATGCATTCAGGTCACCACCGTGAGAGACAAGGAAGGCAAGTAGTGCATCTGCGTTCGTCTTAATGCCACGGTGTCCCCATTTCCTCTTCATCTGTAAACACAAAAAGGGGCATGGGAGCACCCCGAGGGGTTATTAGAAGAAGCAATATTCGTTAAAACAAAAAATTAACGACTAGCACATGACTACAATTTTGGGTAAAACATTCAAAGATATCACAAAAGTACATCAAAATTTAAATGAAAACCCCCCAAAAGAACAAAAACAAAGAATGTCTGTAAGAGAAAACAATAGGTTACATGAAAATTAATTACTTTTAGCCTAGAGTACAAAAAAGATTAAATGCGGGTCATAGTAGTGGATAAACCTATATCGAAAAAAAATGGATAAAACACATTGTACATACATAGATGCACCATGTCAAATAATTGGATTTTTATAAATCAAGCAAGTTATTGACCAACTTTTAGAAGTACAATTTTGTTAAGAAAATGAATAAACTACATTTAAGTAGAATTAAATGTTTGAACAAAATACACTATATTCCCTGTAAAAAAAAAAAATCAAGACTGGAAAGCCGTTGACAACCAGTGACGTAATACATCACCGTTAAGAGTAAAGGTAACTGTTGAAAATGAGGTCAATTACTATTATCATCTTGGAAGATAGGACAAGATCATAATTATAAGAACAATAAATAGATACAATAAAAAGTAAGTTACTTGTCTAAAATATATATGTATGAGCAGAAAAGGGTTCATTGGAAAATCTTCAAGCTTGAATAAAAAATTGATCAACGGATGACACTTTACAAAAAACAAAAACAAAAACTCTTTTTCTACGTACCGTATTTCAATGCCTTTGCCCGAATGCTAAATTTTTAGTTAAATCCCAAAGAGGTAATGCTTTAAAACCTTTAATTTTTTAGGTGATATGATTATGAAATAGCCTGCCAATTTGCACATATGATTGTTGGGTCATATACTAGTAGTTATGAAAGTGGGTTTTCAAATGTACGGGTGATATCTTCTCGGTTTGATTCCTAGCAATATTCCTAGTTTGTTTCATACTAAGGTAAAATAATCTAAGGTTGTTAAAGGTACTATGTCCCATTTGCAGGCCAACAAAATGAAAAGGTTCAATTCCAACGGCATTTAAAAGATAATCCTAATGTAGAACTTCCCTAAAAGAGGGGGGCTTGAAAATGTCTTTAAATGGGAAAATAATGACTATTAGTTGTCAAATCGACTAAAGAGCTATAGAGCCAGTAAGTAATAGTCTTATTTTCAGACCATTGTACCGAATGGTTGTATGTTTTATGCTGCGCAAAGATTTAATCAGTTCAATTTTGGCCATCACAAGGAAGTGGGTTATTGATGTAGACAAATGCTCATGTACCCTTTACAGCTGATTTCAAGTAGGCCTTTGTTGTTACCAAAGAAGAAAAAAAGAAGATATCAGTCACTCAATAGTGTCTGACAGTGATGTCTAGCACGTAAACGGGTTTCCTTGCATAATTTGAATACAAGAACACTGCTAACGTTTAAATTTCACAGATAGGACATACATGACATATTCATTATTCCTGCACAGTTCTAGAGAATTTGATGTTGGCTGCAAAAGGGACATGGTATCTTTAATATCATACCTCGGCCATATACGGCTCTTCTTTCATCTTTTGTCCTCCAGAAAAATGAACATTGACGGCAAGCTGCAAGGATGTGTTTCCAGAACAGTCTGGAAGGTTGACGTCTGCACCATGCTCCACCAAGACATCCACTAAATGAAAATGCTCACGGGCGATGGCCAAAGCAAGAGGACAGTATCCAAAGTCGGTTCCCACTGGCACTGCATTCACATTACAGTGTCCCTGTCGGTTTAAATTCAACAACAACAAACATCAGATTCATATTTATGATAAATGGATCAACTTAGGATGTTAGAAATCTGTCAATGCAGGAGTTTTTATAATGTTCGATTTTGATCTAATTTAAGCCTACAACACACTTTATTATCCGACTACGATCTGATTTTAAAAACATTTGTTTACCTTTTTCATCAATAGTTCTGCAGCATTACGACAGCCCTTGAAAACAGCTACAGAAATAGGAGAATGGCCCGGGTTTGCCAATGCTTCCACCAGTCTAGGTATCTTGTCCATGAGCTTGGTTAAAACACTGTGACCAAGGCATGGAGAATAATCGAAAAAAGAAATATGAATTAATACATCAATCCTTGGAAATGGAAAGGGGAAAGCGGCATCCCTCTCCCTGATCTAATACAGGGCAAAAAGCATAACAAGCCTTTTACTCTAAATCACATAGATAATTTGTCCATAGCGCCCATCTTTATTTTTTAATACAATTTTTCATTTGTTTCCCCTTTGCTTGAGAGACATTTTTATTAACACTTACATTTTTATAAGGTGCTAAAACGTCCTAGTTGCTTTTTAATACACACACGCACACACGCACACGCACTCACACACACACACACACACACACACACACACACATACACATACATATTTATACATATATATATATACATAGTCCCGTAATAACCCTATATCTCTGAAAAGGAATAGTGGATCACCATGAAAGTGTTCTTCTAGCTAAAACTTGTTTTCTGAAACACGTCTTTCATAGTTAAAAGAGCTCACTAAAAATAAAACTATTCTCTGTACCAAGATCTGCTTAAGGCCCGGTCACACAGGGAGGACGCATGGGGAACGCACGGCCAGCGCATTGGAAATTTGCAATTTGGGCCAGTGCGTTGTCGTTCGCTAGGCGTGCGTCATCATTCGTTACTCGTTCGTCGAGCGCGCTGGACCAACGCTGGACCAGCGCTATGCATGCGTCGTCATTCGCTGTGTGCGTCGGGATTTTTTGAGCATGCTCAAAAACGTGCGCCGCGCATGAATATACACGCCAAAGGCACGCCAGACATGCGCCGGAGCGCGCTAGACCAGCGCCAGACATGCGTGGAGCGCGCTAGACCAGCGCCAGACAAACGCGGAGCACACGCCCTGTATACGCACAGCGCGCTAGCTACACGCCGTGCATTTTGTGTCAGCTCGCTAGCTTTTCCAAAATTATGACAAAAGTTAGGCACACGTTCTTTTCCGATTTCCAATGCGCTGGCCGTGCGTCGTAGAACGCGGTGCATGCGTGGACCATTCGTCCAGCGCGCTAGCAACACGCTGTGCATTCGTGGAAGTTGTTTTCATGTGCGCTCTGTGTGCGCCCTGTGTGCGCCCTGTGTGCGCCCTGTGTGTGCGCCCTGTATACGCCCTGTATGCGTCCAGCGCGCTATGCATTTGGTGTCAGCTAGCTGTATAGCTTTGACAAAAGTTGGGCGCACGACAACGCACTGGCCAAAATTGCAAATTTTCCATGCGCCGGCCGTGCGTCCCCCATGCGTCCCCTCTGTGTGACCGGGCCTTAAAACAAATATGGTAATAGTACATTTTGTATTAAGCGCTATATAAAAATTAAATATTATTATTTTTATTATTATGTTTTTATCCCCGGCTGAATTCTGAAGCTCATTTAATATGTCTTATTCATCGGATCGACTTGGAAAAATAAAAGAATATACTCCACACACTATGTATTATCCAAGCTAGCAGCAGCGTGCATGCCAGATACTAGATCACTTGAAACCGCTTTCAGATCTGCTTCCTGTCTGTCCATGATGAGGTCCACTATGGTTCTTCCTCCACTTTCTATTGAATGGAGTACAGGTGTCATGTTGTGCACGCCCTATTGCAAAGACATTCCAAGCCACATGATAAGTACACTTACAATTTGTCATGTCTCTTATTAAATGTTATACACTGTTGCCTATAAAGGTTAAAGCCCCACTGTCCTACTTGTAGCTACTTGCTCCCTCTATATAGAAAACTGCCCCAGTCGGTGCCTGTTGGTCCCCCATGATCCTCTTTTTATTATGTTAGTTGAGAGCTGAGTTAATGAGATAGCCACCTGTCAGTGACCTCGCTGTGTGGTCTAATCCCTACTGGCACAGTAGTATTGACGGTCTTTAAGATCAAATCTACCCCTTTTCATGAAATGAAAGTGACAATATTATACATTCTTAATAGTTGCAGTGTATATGTTCTCAAGCCTTTATTATAGAATGGATTTATCAATCCCTGCAATCTGTTTGGTTAATTGCTGCCTATAACTATCGGCTCGCATGGTGATGTATAGTAGGCTTGCGGTTGCACCATGCCAGACAGCTAGGGGAGGATTGGGGAGTCCTGAAAAGGACTCTCGGTAATATTTCTTGAGTGTGTGTTGTCCTGAAAAGGACTGTTGGTGTAGTCTTGAAAAAGACTGTTGGTTATCTTTCTTTAATAGCTTATAGTTCTAAAGAGAACTATAGCGCCGGTTTGAGAGGAAGGGTGGTCCCATCCTCTCAAGATGGCTCAGTTTTTATTTTGGGAGAAACCTTATCTGTCAAGACTATTAAAATCATGTTGTCACAATCATTTCATGAAGAGAGGTAAAACAAAATTATTCCAACTTGATGGGCAACAGTGTACAAGGTAAGTTATCATTCATTTGGCTATGTTGCATATAACATCTTAAAGCACATTTACAATTTTATCATTTCTCTTTCCTGTTTAGTCAGATATATTTGAATGGTCTTAATATCTAACGGTTGTTGCGAAGATTTGTATCCATTGCCCGAGTAAAGGAGGTTAATATATGTTTTATATCCCACATCGGCAATCAGGGCCCCGTCTTACAAAGAGTTACGATCGATCCAAATCAATCGTAAGTCCTCCAATCAATCGCAAGTTTGCAGTCTCCTATCTCTTATGTACATAGTTACGATTAATAACAATTGCAAATAAGTTACGATTGATATCAACTCTTTGTAGGACGGGGCCAAGGTCTATTTAAAGTGAATTTTACATAATTAAAACAACTGATTTTGCAGACAGTTTAGCTTCAGCTAGATTTTACAAAGCACAACATGCGTACATGTAATACAGTCGATGCGCGCTCATTTGACATTGACATTGACTTTGACATTTCACGTAACCTACTTTGCTATGCTTATTCAATGCGCAAGTCGCGCAAGTGGGGCAGCAGCAAAAAAATACTTAACAAAAAGACCTATCTCAGGTAGATAGTACTTATCTATACCTTTTTCGTGCTCTGTACAATCGCAATGCAAACAACTATACATGAGGGATATAATGTCCGATATCAACTTTCCCCGTTAAGTACGAGCAAATGTTTTTGACATTTTTTGACATTTTCAACAGGGGGGGGGGGGGGGGGGGGGGCTGAAGCCTCTTGCCGAATTTTAATTTTATGGTTTCACAATTTGGCGAGGGGGCGAAGCGAGTGAGCGAAAATGTGGGCATATATATGTTGTGAAAGTGTTATTTATCACCAAAATATACGAGATAAGATATACAAAGTGCAGTCGGGCAGTTCGCTGCTCGAATATTTGTAATTTTGTAACTTTCGGGGCAATAGAGGCTGCAACCCCACCCCGCATTAAATGCAGGTGTTAATATGAAATGTAATTTGAATCCTTGTGGAGTAAATATAGAAACAGCTCGTGCTACAACCATGATTGTAATGGAAATGTTCAGTTATTTAGAATTCAAGAACATCTTAACTCCTGTAGTACTAAATAGGTGTTTTATGACTGTCAAGATATATTTAACAATTTCTTTATATCTTTACATATTGATATCAATTTCATGAATGACTAAATCTCTCTCGTTCGCTTAACAAATACCAACGCTTTGAGTTATTTTCTACAACCATGATTGCAATGAAAACCTCCATATATTTGGAAATCCAGAACAGTTAAACTCCTGTGGTACTAAATGTGTGTTTCATGACTGTCATCATGATATATTAATCAATTTCTTTATATCTTTACATCTTTATATTCATGAATGACTTTATAACTCTCGTTCGCTTACAAAATACCAACGTGCGCATATTACTCCGTATTTTGAATGAATGCAATATAAATATAAGTTTAATTTTTTTTACAGCCACTATAAGAAGCAAATCCGTCGATTACTTTCATTGTTGGGGATGAATTATCTTAGTTTAAAACGCTTAAAAGGATACTCGTCCCCCTGGATCCGCCACTGATACTTTAAACTATGAAGTAAACAAATCTCCCACATACTTCTCAACAATTCTTTTTTTTCCTTTCTATCTGACACATCTTCTACAAGAGGATTTCAAATAATCAGCTCTTGAAAACTTGTATTCATCCTAAACATGCGAAAGATAACCATGATCAAGCTCATTTCATTATGACTCAATATAATTTCTGTAAAAGCCCAAAGTATGTAGTTCCGTTGCATTAGTACCATAAAGACATGAATTCACGTCCCACTCCTGCCGTAACTTTTAAAGTTTTAATCTATCACAGAAAAAAAAAATCAGTTGTGACCTTTTACAAATACGTTTATTTCAAAAAGATCATATTAGACTTCAATCATGATTTTTAGATATAAATGATTATATTAAATATATATCACAATTTCCTTACCTTTTGGTTCAAGTCTGCACCATGCATCAGCAGATAATGTGCACATTGAAAGAACCCTTGTTCACATGCCTTAGCGAGACATGTGAAGCCTTGCGGGTTGACGGCATGCACATCAGCCCCTTGATCTAGAAGGTATTCCACAGCTTCGTATTTGTTGCTTCCGTTTGGAATGGGTGTGTAAAGAAAACGGGCGGATGATCATTTGTTTAACCCGAATCAACTTAATGGATTACAATTTGAACATGGGCAGAAAGCACAAAAATCACTGGATAATTTGGGTCCATTTCTGTTGCTGTACATTGTACCGTTCATGAATAAGAGCTAATATATTCACGCATACAATTAAAATTGAAGTCTCCAAACTGGCAACGCAAAAAATATTGTATAACCACTCTTTTAGGTTTCATGTACAAAAAGGCAATTTCGTGTTTACGTGTTGAATATTTCATTCACAGCAGTTTATTTATTTTTAAACACTTATTTTTACATTATGAAAGAGTGGGAAGGATAAAAAGGTACATAAAATGACAATTAATATGTCAGAAAAAATATGAATAAACCGCAAAATAATGAACTAAAAATGAGTTGATAAATTACAAATGATAACAAGTCAGCCATTATATAAGTTTCACAGGCATTCTGGAGACAAATTGCTCTGCAATAGAATATAATATAGGGAATGGTGTGTAGGGGCGGCGGGGGGGGGGGGGGGGGGGCTGGGGGGCTACCCCGGCCCCCCACACAGTGTTCTTTAGGGTACGCATATGCTCGTTGAAAACACCCCCTATCCGAGGACTGCCAACATTTCCGAACCCCCCTTTCGCGGGCTTTTCCTGCCTTGGAGACACCCCTAAATCATCAAAATTCTCAATGTAACCCCCTAAATCGGAATAATTTCTCAGGAGTCCAAAGAGATGAAAGAAAAAAGACCCCCTTTTTAAAGAAATCTCCGGGTGAAAAGTTAATACACCCCTCTTTTTACAATTCTCGGGCCGGACTTTGTCGCACGAAAAGTACCCCTTTACCGGACATTTTGGTAACATGCATGGGGTCCGTCCGTTCTCGGAGTGGGGGGGGGGGGGGGGGGCTACATCCCCTCGCTAGTGTGGTTACAGTGCAGTTGACCGAAGGCCGGCGAGACCGAAAACCATAAATTGTGTGAATTACACAACATGCAGTACATATGCTTGCGTACATTTTGGTTGTATTTGTTATGACCGTAAATGTTGGTGCTTTTGATCCCTAGGCATATAAAGGTTATATAATAATTATGGGGGACAGTAAATTCAAAGAAAATACTATAAATCCTAAATCAGTTTTACCAAAAAGGTAAACTTGTGATGAAATATGAAATCTGAAAATTAATTACTCTTGTCATTTATGAGTAAAATCACACCACCATAAATTAGCTCATTTCATTGTGATGACAAGTTGATGATAGGGATTTCAAAATGTTACTAGTATAATGTGAGGGGGAAAATGCCGATATACCTCTCCTTAATAGTGAGAAATGATATGTGTCCTGGCTGCTTTAAATGCAGAAATAATAAATATGCTTAGTTGAAGGACGGATATTAAAATGCAACATTTGTACACGCTTAAATTTACTTGCCTCAATATAGACGTCGATGTAGAAAGTCGAGACAGATCTCATCACCCATTATTAGTATAGTATTAATGACTGCTTTGAGAGAAATAGTTGTTTTATACGCTCAAGGGAAGGTAACAATTGTGCTATTGCCCGAGGCGCGGGCAATAGCACAATTGTAACCTTCCCTTGAGCGTATAAAAACAGCTATTTCTCGAACATTAAAGCAGTCATTAATACTTTTATATGCCGAAAAAAGTGTCAACTTATGACACCACCTTGGCCTTTCTGTAGTTTATATGTACGGTTTTTTTTTTATGAGTGTATCTTTGAGTTTATTTCTAGTCTGACTCTAAGCAAGATATTTTTAAAATTTAGGGGGGGGGGGGTGTGAGCCCCTGTGGGGAATATGGAGAAAAACTTGCTCTTTCATATGACACCTCACTTATTGAGTATCACCTTCAGGATCACGAGCAATATTGGTTTGAATCTCATTTTGGAATTAAAACATCGACCAATTTAGCATGAGTGCGCGCAATGCACTTGGACTGCATAGATCTAGATCTAGAGATGTGTGCAATCTCTATGGGAAGGTTTTAGCACACAGTATTTTCATGGAGACTTTCACGTACCCTTTTGGTGTTCTTCAGAATTAATAAAGTCTTGCATTCGATCATCATCAAGAAGTTGAAATCTTGGGAGAGTTTCTTCAGCCATTTTTGCCTTGTTTGGAATTCAGTACGATCGAGATTGCCGTACGGTCGTCTGCGCTACGCTCTGTATTAAAAAAATTGGTAAATTAAGCTAGCGACCAATTCTTCGCACACGTACACGTATGTATGGTATCCGCGATCGCTCAAACCAGTTTTTAAGCAAGACTAAACTATAACTTGAATTTTACCCTCGAACTATTACATGGGCGTGGCATTTTTCGTTTATTTTCGGGAATGGCTAAAACCATGACTGCAATTTCGACCAATCAGATGGCTGGATTTCTTAAGTGAGGTATATAATTCGCAATATCATGCAGATTTTTTTTGTATTATGTAGCTCGTAAAATATTGTTGGGGGCAGATAATTAGAAGAACTCATTGATATTCGAAAACTAAAAATGTTTGCAAGATTTTGACCCGTACTGTCCAACCCGTTAAGTGTTAAAAAGTGAGGAAGTTGGTTATCTATCAAATGTCAGATATCTTGAAGAGTTTATGAAATAATAGTCTCTCACATAACATTGTTTAATATCGAGACTAAGGATACGTAGTAGAAGCTAAAATCTTATTTTCTCTTTCAAACAGAGTTTATATATTAATAGTCTGACTACACAACCTGTTATCTCCATGAGCATTTTTGATAGGGCTCCTTTAACATTAGTAAAATTAATGACAACCCTTCCACAGCTGCAATGATGCACACACATAAGAGGTGTCACGATGAATCTGAGTGGAATAGGATATTTATAATCATTTATTATTGTCTATATAAATATTGTCAGCCATGACGCAGCCCAAGTTTATCCCAGATAGATAGCTTACGTTATATTATGTACACGCGCGAAGTCTCGCGGACCTTCAGTCAAGTGGGCAGACCCCAATAGTGCCTCAATGGAAAGAAAGGTCATACAAATTCATTTAAACTAACATGTATAATTTCGATTATCAAAAATTATTCAAGGAAGTAAAAAAAAAAAATACAAATAAACAATGACAACATACTGACAAATCAATATTAAATTAACTCGAAGGTACATCACTACGACCAAAAGGTACATGTGAGAATTTCTTCTTACATGATAACAGATTTAATGTTGCGCGAATAATCTTTCTCTTTTTAGGTGCATTTAACATGAAATCATTCAGCATGAATTTAATTAAATTTAATTTCATCAGAGAAATGCATGCTAATGGTGAAAATAGAAAATGTTTTGTAAATCAAATTAGATATGAGATAACCTTCTGTTTGGAACCTTCTTCTGAAGAATGTATGTATAATGGCTTGTAGAATCGGACCATAAAGCCTGTGGGATATCTAATTTCACTGATTACATTTAGAAAACCTTTCCATGTGAATGATGGTGTAAAATCAACGTGGGATGATGGAAATTTAATTTCTTTGTTAGAATTTGAATAATGTATTCACAGATTCGGGTTTAAAGATACAGCTGAGTTCTGGTAATGCGATTGCCTTGTGAAAGAAAAGGTGTGGAATGGATCAGAAACAGTTGATCATGTAGCATGTAAGTATTGGTGTGCACTGCAAAGGTTCTGGAGTCATCAAGATCATAATAAATGTGGCCGAGTCTTGGTAAAGTAACACAGAAAGCTATATACGGGACAACACACATGGTGTCGGGGCTAGTACTACCTTGATTTCCTTGTCTTTCTATGCTGATTACTCAGCCAGTATACATTTTCTTCCAAAATTGTTTGGCACATGTCATTTATTTGTAATCTTGAACATTCAGTGTAAGTTTCGTTTGATTCTTTAAGAATTATTATTATTTTTTTTTACCAGAACTGGAGTTTATCTTAAAGCATAACAGGTAGGCAACACAAATTATCATTAGGTTTACAAAAATACTATTTTTTCTTGGAATTTCTTACGCAAGTGTCGACTGGTAAAGTGGGGCTTTGTGGTCGTTCTCAATAAAGGCCCCTTTCCCAACGAGGAACTTCATCATGCGTACATCTCCTTTAGCTGCACTGCACCCTAACAGTGTTATGCCCGGCACTGCCTCATAATGAATCTAGATGCAAAAAGACAGAGAAAACTATATAAATAATCTTTTCACGGACAGCTTTTCCTCAACTGCCGTGTACGATAGGATTTGCTGTATCTATGGTATTAATGCTTCATAAACTCTTAAATTCAAAATCGCATGAGGAAACCAAGATCCAGCTCATTAACCCCCCTCCTTTTGACACCTACATGGCATAACTAATATCTATACATAAGCCGAACATGTGCTCCCTATTAAAATTGGTTTAACCTTTCTTTCTTCTTTCTTCTCCTTCTTTTTTTGTTGTTGTTACAGAATTCGAAAATATAGGAACACCCGAAACATTTGATGACTTTTTTTTCTCTTTGGTACCCCCTCCCCCTTTACAGAATTCTAGATCCGACCCTTATTACTTACCCATTCTGGATGTATAGCCAAGATACGCTCCATCTTGTTGATATCACCTGCTTCTGCATGAATCATGATGCTCCATTCAGGATCCTGCATGGCCCGAGGGAGACCTAGAGGCAAGAAAAAACATTGTCATATAAAGCTTGTAACGAATGCTCGCATAATCACGTTTCACGTTTTGAGTATTTTCGTAGATACAATCTAATCAAGCGTTTGTCATACTTTTTATAGTCACGGCAGTGATTTAAAACAAATTGCGATATATCACGATATTCGGGCACCTCGTTGACTAATTATGGCACCTTACTGTTTGAAAATAAAAAGCAGTTTCTGATAAAAGAAAATTCACGAAATTGAGGTTTATTTCATTATAGATGCAAAAATAGTTTAACGAATTTCTCTCGCGGCACCGCTAGAGATGTCTTGAGGTTGTTGTCCGTTTCTATTAAATGGAAATACAGATGATACAATATCTAATCTAAAGATCTATGAATTATATTTAATTTTCTACAGTATGAAGCAAATCCGATTGCTTCCGAAAGAGATGTTGATTCCTTCTTGAAAAATAATACCAAAGGGTGAAATGCAAGGAAATGTGCTATTAATAGGACTTTCAATTATTGATTCATGATTTTTTTAATTTATTCATTCATTAATTTATTTTATATATGTTTCTATTAATTGTTTATAATATTAAAGTTTGCATCCTCTTTGGATATAGATATTGAACCAAATTGTAATGTGTAATCGTAAATTAAATTAACTATTATAAGACCTAAAACTTAAAACTTACCACGCAAATGTTCGTCAAAATTTTCATATTCTGGTTTAGGAGCACGAAACCGTTCTGGAGTCAGGTTTACAGAATTGAAAACGAATTTGTGATTGCCCTTGATTTTGACGTGAATATCCGATCCGTCAATCTCTACCACCTTTCCAACTGTACCGATGGCCTAGAACAGGAATATAATGATCATGATTATTGGGCTACATAATTGTTTGTTTGTAATGTGGAAGTAAATAGAAGGATGGTGGGCTGATATCATTGCCCGTATATGAACTTCGTTTGCGGCCTAATCGAGAGAGCCATTACAAAATATAGATTCAATATGGCATAACAAAAACGAGCATCTTTGATGCCAGAATATAGGAATCTTGTTAGTTCTCGAGGGGAGGGGTTCGCAAAAAGCAGCTCCCCTCTCCCGCCTCGCGCACCCGTATTCTATAGCTAAAATAGTTATATAGACAGAAGTCACCTGTTTCATAGCTGCCGTCCATCCGCCATGTCCAGACTGTAATCTTTTGACCATCTCGATATCATCACTTATCCGGACAAGCTGACCGAGACTTAATGGATGAATCTAAAATGAACAGGTGGATAAAAATGGAAATGGTAAGAATACTAATGATATCAAGAAAATTGTTGATAATTATGTGTCCCCGTAGATTTGGTAATTATTTAATAACAATAACAACAACAACAATTGCAAAAACAGCAAAAGTAATGATGATAATTATTATACTAATACTAATGATAATAGTAGGTTATTGTTAAGCACTCATGTCTGTCAGGCTTGACACTCCTGGAGCTTCTAAATTAACATGACTGCCGGTATGGTACCTGAGCATTTCTAGGAAAAGGAATGAATTCCTGCTAGGTACCAAGTAACCTCATTTGGGTTGAGCATGGCAAATGGAGATTTATGTCTTGCCAAAGGAAATTAATGCTGCGGTGGGGATTCGAAACCCGTTACCTGTTTGGTTACTGAACCCCCGTATCACGGCACCTCTACAATTAGGCCCTATGTATCAAGAAATATATCATACAAGCATTTGTATAGTCAGTTAGGTATAAGCAAGGCCTGCTGGTTATGTCATAGTTACCTTCCTTAGAGCTGCAGAATTCATAGTAAATGTTTCTTGGCTGTCATGGAAAGTCACTGTGAAGTCACCAGTATTCGTCCTTTTAAGCACATATCCCTTCTCGAGAAACGTCTGTGTATAGACAGAGATATTAATAGTAAATATGTTTGCCTATTCCAATTTCTGCATTTTTATTTTTAAAGTTACATTTAAGTCGGGTAGTCTCCTCCACTGGGCAGCAATGGGAACATAATATATTTTGGGAGAGAGAAAGAAAGATATTTATAACCATGAATATAAAATTCGAAATAATTTGTTTTAAAGAATATCATCTCAGCAGCGTTCGGATAGTTCTTCAGGTGCTATGTCGGGGCTGTTTTAAAGCGTTTTCATAATTGATAATAATCATTACTTCGAATGTTTTCAACCATTGAATTTTGATAAAATTGTCTGATCAAAGTATCACGTTTGCAATAATGACGATAAAGTAATTAAAAATAAAACTTCGCACAGCTACTTTAAGTGCCATGTTACAAATTATTTCATTCACTTGTTACGAATAATAATTACAATACTCAGAATGCGAATTGCATATATTAGTTGCTGCGAGGTAGGCCAACAATTGTAAAATTAGAACTGTTGCTTGCAAATGAGTGTTACGAAACAAATTCCAGTTTCATTTTAAAAGTCTTTGTTATTATTGTTTAAATGGTCATCATACTATGTTGAAGAGCAAATTGTGAAGCGCTTTGTAACTGCACGGTTATACCAACTACTCTGTAGATTGGATTGGAGATTAAATCTTCAGTCATATGTAGCATTAACATGTAGCCATGAGAAATACCCACATGAAGCACTAGTATGTAAAAAATTTTCTTTGTGAACTCGATTCAATGTATAGTCATACTTGTCTATTGAGGCTACCCATGGGAAATAGAGAAAGTGGCTTCTGTAGACAGGTTCTACGAAATATATTTTTTTCTCTAGGGTGACAAAATACATGGCCGCTATATACAGATGGCATTTGCAAGAGATTGGGCGCTAAGACAGGTATGACTGTAGTTTACTAACAGGGGCAGCGGTGGGATATACATTTACTGAATTGCAAAGATAAATTCCTCTCTATTATCAAGTTCATTCATTATTTGAATGGCAAAACATTAACGAATTAGTGTTTGAAATATTTGAAATAAAACAATTTTTTGAGGGTAAAAGCTAAAAATTGCAGCCTCAAGATGTTATTTGGAAGGAATAAAGGAACCTAAATCTCTCCAACACTTGATGAAAGCATTAGATATTAGTGAATATAGACTTATACTCACTTTGGTCATATCTGGCTTCCACAATCCCCTGCGCTTGTGGAGTTCCTCCAATTCTGCAGGAGTGGCAGTTACCAGGACGTTGTCACCTTCATTCACTCGCTCCAGATCCCCTATGATTAGCGAACAACTAAGGGTAAACAAATCTGTTCTATGTAGCCTAGCTCTTTCTTCTTTTACATGTCTCAAGGAAAACATCTATTTTTTTTTCTTCTAGTTTTTTCTTTTGTTTACATGTTTCATAACCCAATAAGCGATAGTGGTAATAGTAATCTCAGTTCCAATGATGATGATGATGATATGGATATTTATGACTGTACAAATGACCATATCTTTCCGGGTCTATTTACATGATTTAAGAACATATTCTTTCTCCTGATATCAATATTTATTGGTAGGCAGGGTAACCCCCGAAAGAATATCTGCGATCTGCAACTTCAGCGACCTCTTCACGGCTTGCCATACAATCAGCTGTTTTGACCGGACGGAAATGCGTTTCTCAGCTCAGCTGGTTGTATGGGAAGCCGTCATGCGCACATTTCTCACGGCTGCAAGCATTTTTCCGGTTGTAAAAGTATCAAAGTTTGAAAAAATATTGCCTCACAAAAATATCTGTAGAATCAAAACGCCTTACCGAAACACTTATAATCTTGGTGTCATTTTACTCGGAAAAAACAGAAATCAATGGTGTCTATGAAGGTGGTGTCTTCGAAATGGTGTCTTCGAAATTGCTGATCTCAGGTGTTGCAGACTTTTTGGAGCACCTCGTATATACAACTACTTGGAAAAATAAGAGATGAAATAAATTGTCTTAATTCTTAAACTCTAAGCACTCTAAGACATTGCTATTCTTACCAAGATTTGCTAAGTGTCCAGCATACACAAAACCTCCTGACCCTGGTAGTGTACAGAAGATTTTATTGAGGTCTACCCTCTCTCGCCCAGAAGAGAACTCAACCGCTGCTCGTACATTGACTTTATCCTCAAGTGTCTGTCCATGTCTGACTACTGTCCCGAGTAGCTTATCTGGGAAGAAATAAAATAAAAGGTCTGATAGATATCATTTGTATCTAGAGACTTCCTTGATTATTCTTCATTTCTGTCGCCAAATGCAATTATTTGGAGATTTCACCTGGATTATGTAACATACATGTGCGGTGAACCCTTTTGATTAAATACTATGATAGCCACTTTTCTTGTTCATGCGCATTGTCAACATCTCTTTGGAGAGTATATATAGAGTGGAAGATATCAAGACGAACCTGATTCAAGTCTCTTGTGCCACTGGGGATGTCTGACAACTTTTGCTCCAGCAAAGCTTCCTTTAAGAGCAAGACGAGGAGATGATGATCTTGGTAGCATCTTAGGACTGCATCTATTACAAAAATCAATATCGAACGCTGGAAACTGTTATGTGTCAACTTGTAGCAACGGAATATTCGTAAATTTAGGTCTGACTTCGATTTTCTGATTTTCAAAGACACTAACTAAGATTCCAACATGTTAAATAAACATTCTTATTGTCTGTAGAGGCCGTTTAATGAATCTGTCATAAGTCTAACTTTGTGGAAATCCCATTGAAATGTGTTAAAGAATTAACACGAATTTTATATGAAAATGCTTTGAACTTAGACTTATGATGGTTTCGAGTTTACTGGCCCCAGGAGGTTTTCTTTTATCGGCATTAAAAAAACACAATACCAGTAATTTTAAATGTAATTCATCAAACCAATGTACACTCTGGCTGTTGGAACTCGACTGAGTTTAGAATGGGGTAACACAAACACATCACATTTCTAAACGACACTAACGACTGTTAAATTAAGTATAATACACTCGACTTTTAGGAGCAATTAAACGTTCTATAAGAAGATATGGCACGCAGAGAAGACAAAATCGGTGTAGAAAAGTGGGACTAGAGAAGATCGTTCCAGTGTAAGACAAGCTTGATATATATAGTAAGAGATGTACAAACAGGAAGAGTGATGTTGTACTGTTTCAAAACCTGATATATTATGAGGACCAAGATGCCATTTCTCCCTAAATTGCCCGTAGTAATAGCTGATTACTTGGTCTTTCATCACCAAAATCCCACAATATACCTGAAAATGTGGAGTGTAATAATATACAAGTGCATACCCCTTGGATGTTTTGTCTGAAGACAACACTCTCGTGAAGACATGACTGAGATCATGTTCGTCATTCATGTAGCAAGTGGTACAGAGGTCAAAGGCGTAGCACTCGGTGCATCTCCATCGCATCCCCCTAATCTCATCAACGTCACATCCGTCACACCAGACCTTTGGATGACACACTAAAACAGAGGGGAAAACAATACCAATTTCAACAAAGACTAATGGATTTTTTTAAAATTTGACCTTAATTTATAGACCACACATTATGTTTGTCTGCTCCCTTTATCAAGCATATGAAACGCCGGAACCAAGGTTTGGCTGAAATCTAAAATGGAATATTGTCAATTGCAGCAGTTGTATCCGGCATATTATCCATAGGACACTGTGGAATATTTCTTCATTCGATTGACTTTACATTAAGAGGACTACTTTAAAATAATTTGTGATGATTGTGTCGTTTGACATGGCATTTGGTTAAAATGTCTTTCTCGATCCAGGTGTGTCATAGTTCCTGGTAAGGAAGATAAATTGTGGCATTCAGGCGGAATTTCATTAGTATCTACCTGTGCCAGGAAAAATAAATTTGTAACGGGCATGAGTTTATGTATAAAACGCCATTTGTCATTGATGTAATCGGAAAGAGGTACGAACAATATCAAAACATCAAAAGTTGTCGAGGTGTCGTGGTTTAGTAATTTAATGTAATAGTTAATTCAAATGACTGTTATTCCTAGGGTTCGGAGAACAGCACTGAAACGGACGAATCATCCCTGGGTGAACAGAAGTATTAGTAAACATATTTAGAACTACCTGTATTAGCTGTATCAATGATCCTGAGATCGTAACACTGGTCATAGCCAGCCCGGTAGAGACCTTTATCTCCATTGTCCCACTGAACGAGTACCGAGAATTTTGGAAAATGTGGTTGACGTTCATCATGTAGTCTCAGAACCGTTCCTGCACATCCCTTTCCGCCATCTTGGTTCTTATAAGTCCAATCAGGTCCTCGGATGACACGGAAACCTGGTTTTACAGGGGTTTCCATTTGTGTTAACCTTCAACAGCTAAATTGAGGGCAGAAATGGGAAAACATATAAGATAGATATATAGGAAGAATGTTAAAAGAAATAGAAACATGTACTGTATAGATTGAGAGAGGGTGAGATAAAGAGAGGGTAGAAGTCTATGTCATGTTCGGAGAGGTTTGTAGTTATCAACGTTTGCAGATAAATCCACTCTTTTTAGTTTCATGCCATTTGAAGCAAGGATTATTCAAGGTTTATAATCATATTCGTTTATAATTCATCCTGTTAAAACATATCGTTTTTAACAAGATAAAAGGAAACCTCCATAATTGTCACAAATAATCCATCGTTATAGAGCAAGCATTGACTTAGATCGATTAATGATGATTTCTTAAAATACTTTACATATTGTTCACTTGTTAACTTATCTACTCCTTATACCATTGTATACTTCATATGCCATTTACCCGACGTTCGCCAAGGCAGTGTAAAGGCAGTTCGCTTGTTATTGTACTCAGTTATAAGCCCACTATTCACTAACAATCCGCGAACAATGATTGAACTTCTTTAACCTTTGTTCACCATTCTGTTGTACCCTGTACCAGTGAGGCTTCTTACCATAGAAACGTCATTTTCACATTCTAGTTCTGGAGAAGATCAAATATACATTATGACTGAAAATATATAAAACTCAAAATGATCACATCATTTCTTACTGGCTCTATAAATGCGTATAGATTGAATTTGGAATCCATCAAAACTTTGTTCTCATCGGCTAATAAATAAACGGAAATTCATGTAGAACTTCCTCCTTTTCTCTTCTTTTAATTTCAATTCAAAAAAATTGTTTTAAAAGTAACCAATAGTTGAAATTGGAAAACCTATCCGCATTTTCTTTTTAAAAGTTACATCTTATTTTACATTTCAATGAAAATTGAACATAGGCACTCATTCACTCATCCGATTAGGATCTATTCATACAATTAACATGCAAGTTAGTTTCTTTCGTGCTTCTTTGAAATACAGGAAATAATAAACACACGCACGCTCAACCTCACACACACACTTATCTAGTCATACGCCCCAGGCGCATATAACCATTCTCTCCCTCTCCCTCTTCCATGTTTCTATTAACAACAACAAAAAAAGCAAATTATACACACACTTGTCTATACACCCACACCCATGCGCATAAAAAAATTCTCCCCTCTCTCTCTCTCTCTCTCTCTTTCATGTTTCTTTATAATCAATCCATCACACTCACACACATAAAATAAGAATTAATTACATGTTCTTTGCTTTCTTATCCTCTCTGTCCAATTTTGCGTCACTAGCTTCATAAAATGACTTCATCCATTAAGTCTGTTGTTGATCAGTAATGGCGGCTTCAAAACCTGGCACATATACATGCATACACGTACAGCCAATTCTCAAATAGCTGTCTACAGCGTATTGAGTGCGTAGAGTGGCGGGGATTCCCCAGTAGTGCGCAATACTAACTGGCAAGAAATTCCGGCCGTGCACTGCTTACGCATCCGTGTGTTATTTATCATACATTATAAAATGGATTCAATCAAGGATGTAACCAATGAGAAGCGTGAAAATGGATCCCGTGATCGTGCATTATTGTTTACTATCTGCACGGTACCATCTGCATGGGGTCCAATTTCGCGTCGCTATCTTCATAAAATGACTTCTTCCATTAAGTCTGTTGTTGATCAGTAATGGCGGCTTCAAAACCTGGCACATACCCCGGCCCCCCACTCAGTGTTATTTAGGGTACGCATATGCTTGTTCCCTCTTTTTGAAAGCACCCCCTATCTGAGGACTGCCAACAATTCCGAACCCCCTTTCGCGGGGTTTTTGCGGGCTTTTCCTGCCTTGGAGATCCCCCTAAATCCGGAAAAATGCTTAATGTACCCCCCTAAATTCGGAGTAATTTCCCAGGAGTCCAAAGAGATGGGAGAAAGAAAAAAAAAATCACCCCTTTTTAAAGAAATCTCCGGGTGAAAAGTCAAATATACCCCTGTTTTTGCAATTCTCGGGCCGGACTTTGTCGCACGAAAAGTTTACCTGACATTTTGGTAACACGCATTCGGTCATTTCGACCCCGGAGTGGGGGGGGGGGGGGGGGGGGCGGGGCACATACAAGTAAAGCCAATTCTCAATAGCTGTCTACAACGTGTTTAGTGTGTTAAGTGTTCACGGGAATTCCCCAGTCTTTCGCAATAACAACTTCATATGAAGAAATTGCCACCATGCCCGCACTGCTTACGCTTCCGTGTGATATCTATCATACAATGGTTTTGTTGTTGTTGCTCTTACGCACCATAAGCACACTATGTTTTCAGGATACAATGGTCTGACAAGCTGCAGCGAATACTTATAATGTGAGATCCTGTGATATATGTTTGTCATATTTTTGTGATATACAAGTCATGTAAAGAAAGTGTGTGTATACTATAATAGTAAACTTACATGAAAGTTATGTTTAAATAAATTACTTTAATAATTCAAATCAGTTCAAAATGTTTTTTTTTTATTAAAAACAAACGTGCGTCTCAGCATAATGTTTTTTTAATTTTTTTTTATAGTTTACAATCATTACAAAACTAGATGGAATTTTGACTGCGCGCAGTCGAAAATGATGCCTCCGCCATACAGCAATTAAAATAACGAGCTGAAGACATGGAATTTCACAAGTTGACCTCTGTGACCCTTGACCTACGTGCTCCAAAATCTAAACAGATCGTCTTCCTATGGTGATACATACTATCATTAAGTTTGAAGTGAAAATTCTCCAGTGGTTCTTGAGATATCGCGATAACGATCTCAATGTATGGAATTTCATAAGTTGACCTCTGTGACCCTTGACCTGTGACCTACGTGCTCCAAAATCTAATCAGATTGTCTTCCTATGGTGATACATACATGTACTATCATCAAGTTTGGAGTTTAAATCTCCAGTGGTTCTTGAGATATCATGATAACAATCTCAATGTATGGAATTTCATAAGTTGACCTCTGTGACCCTTGACCTTTGACCTACGTGCTCCAAAATCTAATCAGATTGTCTTCCTATGGTGATACATACATGTACTATCATCAAGTTTGGAGTTTAAATCTCCAGTGGTTCTTGAGATATCATGATAACAATCTCAATGTATGGAATTTCATAAGTTGACCTCTGTGACCCTTGACCTTTGACCTACGTGCTCCAAAATCTAATCAGATTGTCTTCCTATGGTGATACACACTATCATTAAGTTTGAAGTTTAAATCTCCAGTGGTTCTTGAGATATTATGATATGGTGATACATACTATCATTAAGTTTGAAGTGAAAATTCTCCAGTGGTTCTTGAGATATCGCGATAACGATCTCAATGTATGGAATTTCATAAGTTGACCTCTGTGACCCTTGACCTTTGACCTACGTGCTCCAAAATCTAATCAGATTGTCTTCCTATGGTGATACACACTATCATTAAGTTTGAAGTTTAAATCTCCAGTGGTTCTTGAGATATTATGATAACAATCTCAATGTATGGAATTTCATAAGTTGACCTCTGTGACCCTTGACCTTTGACCTACGTGCTCCAAAATCTAATCAGATCGTCTTCCTATGGTGATACATACTAACCTTAAGTTTGAAGTTTTTACATCTCCAGTGGTTCTTGAGATATCATGATAACAATCTCAATGTATGGAATTTCATAAGTTGACCTCTATGACCCTTGACCTTTGACCTACGTGCTCCAAAATGTAATCAGATTGTTTTCATATAGTGATACACACTATCACTAAGTTTGAAGTTTAAATCTCCAGTGGTTCTTGAGATATCATGATAACAATCTCAATGTATGGAATTTCATAAGTTGACCTCTGTGACCCTTGACCTTTGACATACGTGCTCCAAAATCTAATCAGATCGTCTTCCTATGGTGATACATACTATCCTTAAGTTTGAAGTTTAAATCTCAAATGGTTCTTGAGATATCGCACTAACAAACTCAATACAAGGAATTTCATAAGTTGACCTCTGTGACCTGTGACCTTTGACCTACGTACTCCAAAATCTAATCAGATCGTCTTCCTATGGTGATACATACTATCCTTAAGTTTGAAGTTTTTACATCTCCAGTGGTTCTTGAGATATCATGATAACAATCTCAATGTATGGAATTTCATAAGTTGACCTCTATGACCCTTGACCTTTGACCTACGTGCTCCAAAATGTAATCAGATTGTTTTCATATAGTGATACACACTATCACTAAGTTTGAAGTTTAAATCTCCAGTGGTTCTTGAGATATCATGATAACAATCTCAATGTATGGAATTTCATAAGTTGACCTCTGTGACCCTTGACCTTTGACATACGTGCTCCAAAATCTAATCAGATCGTCTTCCTATGGTGATACATACTATCCTTAAGTTTGAAGTTTAAATCTCAAATGGTTCTTGAGATATCGCGCTAACAAACTCAATACAAGGAATTTCATAAGTTGACCTCTGTGACCTGTGACCTTTGACCTACGTACTCCAAAATCTAATCAGATCGTCTTCCTATGGTGATAAATACTATTCCCGAGTCTTCAGTTTAAATCTTAAATGGTTCTTGAGATATTGTGATAACGGTCAAACGGGACGGACGTACGGACGTACGGACGGACAACCCGAAAACATGATGCCTCCGGCACCACCTTCGGTGGCGGAGGCATAAAAAAACAATCAACACAGTTCTACCAAATGTAGTTTTTTACCTTCTCGTCTATTATTTTCCCTCATTGAAAAGGAAACGTTTTGTTATTGAATAAAAAGTCTTTCCAATTAAAGCTTCGTGCATGATACATGAATACTTTGGTACGTCACATCTAAAATGGCTGCGTCCATGTCGTGTTAAAAGGCATAACATGATGCCAAGCAATCCACCGCCACACACATCGTCCCTTGTTGAACTAAGTGCATGACCGTGAGCTATTTCTTTTTGCCCCTCCTATTTTGTAAAGTAGCAAATATAACTTTAAAAGAAGCACATTTGAATACGAATTTTGAGCCATTAGGGCTCATCTGCATATCTTAGATAGTTTTTGTTACAACCTCTTATTTAACATTAAGTACATAGGATAATTCTCATCTAATTAAAAATGGAAGAAAAAATACAAAGCACATTATTAAAGTATACTGTAACTGCATAACGAACAAAACAAAACAAAGAAAAAGTTACAAAAAACTTTCATAGTAATTTCTGACGATATCTAATAAAAAACAAAAAAGAGCGTACTCTCTCATTTTCCTAATGAAATGAAAAGGCATTTTTCTGTGGAAAATGAAACACCCAGAACTGGAATGACTTGTCTACATATCAGGGTATTTTAGTTATTTCATAACAAACAAAGCATTATTATGACTAAAATATGGGTACATCTTGTTTTGATACTAATCAATGATTTCTTTTCAGTTTTAATAGCACGTCCATTCAAACAAACAAAATAAAAAGGAAATCGAAAATCAAGGATTCTAGTACATTGATTAGACAGATACGTTCCTCCACATTTGAATTCGATCTGAAGATAATGCATCCTGCTTGTTTATCTACTACTCACACTGGATGAAAGTATTAAGTTTCACATTCATAACACCAGCTTATACTTAAGCAACAACATGATAAATTGTTGTTTAAGGTACTATGTCCAATTTGCCCTTTGCGTTTAGTGAAGAGATTCAAAATCAAACGTGCTATTTATTGTACAAATGGCATGAAATCTACTCAATGATCAGGGATAAATAGTGTCGTAATATATTTTATAATAATTATGATCATTATCACAGTTGAAAAGACAAATAAATCGTCGATGAGATCTCATACAACGTCAGGCCAATGGGACATTTTCAAAATGTAATCAAAATTATAAACGTTTACCAAGTATTATAATTGACTGTATAACAATTGGCAGGATGCCTATTGCAAACGTCAGTTGTTGCTAGGTCAGACAAACTTTGTGACGAGCCCTAACAAAACGTACTATGCAATTTGAATGGTGAATTTTGAAATATAATTAAATGTACTCGAAATGAATAATAATAATGAACTCTACAAAGCCATTTGTTTTTTAAATATGATTACTAGTGCATTACGGAAATTGCATTAAAGTCAATCTTTTTTTGAGGACATGCGAATCGTGTAGTTTCAATGAACCCTTTGTCATGTTACCCCAGCAATGATTTGAATTAATATTGATCACTAAAGTTGCACCGCCATTGGTAAAAAAATGTGGTATTGAAATCTCAGCCTTTAAAATATTTAGTGGTATTACCTCTACTCGTGCGATGAGAACCAAGAGGCGTTAACCCTTATAATTGCAATGCCCTCGATAATTATGTACAGGAGTGGAAATCCACTTTGGGAGAGTGATATTAGGGATCATGCTTCGTTTTGGAGAGGAAAACTACATTGAAAATAAAATACGGCGATCCACTATTAAACAGAAGAACTATTAAATTACTATGTTTGAATGTATTCAGTTCTAAAGGTAGCAATCCTTTATATTTATCCTAAAAAGGTTTCCACTCCTTTGCATTAAGAGGGTAAGGTCCCTACTGCAAGTCAACGACTGAAGAAATTGGCTCGCTGCAATATGGGCATTCAGGGATGAGCTCAGCAATGCTTCGGATGACATTATGGCCACAAGTGAAGGAGATATTCTTCTTGACCAGGTGTTCCAGTGTCTTGACCCTTGACCGAAGGGTTTCTAGCTCTTCGTCTTTGCGCTGGAGCTCAGCTTGGAGGTGATGCAAATCGCCTATAAGGATATAAGATACAGAGAATAAAGAAAAATATTTCTGTCGCTTGATTACTTGTCCATTCTAAGCTTACTTGAACGCAATTCCATCACAATTTGAAATATACCATTTTCAAGTTTGATTTTTCCTCCACAGAAATTTTCCTGATTCAGAAAGGTATATGAAAAATAAGAACAATATTAGAAAATAAGATATTTACACTATCAAAAAAACATAGTTAAATCAAAGACTTAGAAAATAAATAGTAACAGTATATTATATCCTAATATAAACCGACATGACGGATCTATGCTTTAGAGCCTTCAGCACTGTTTTTTTTCTCCAGATCGATGGTATCACAATCTGATTCCTTAGTTTTCAACATAAACTTTAGGAGACCGATGTGGGTAATGATTTCTGATTAACTTAGTCCTCGTCATCGTTCTACTATAAGAAGAGAATATAAATATCGATTAATATCCTTATCTGTAGCAGTGTGTTTCGATTCTGTGCTCTTTCTTGTTTAAGACACTGACACACCCCTTTTGGAAAGTTACATATCATTCTTGATTTCTCTATCCAAGGAACAGTTTTACTAGCTTTTGAGGTTCGTTTTTGTGCTCCTTTTGTATTTGTTTAAGTTTAGGTCAATTTTCGTGATATTTCAACATCATGCCTGTCGCCAGAAAGGGAAAGAAAAAAGCCGCTGTAAAAATGAAGGAAGTTGTCGACAATCCTTTTCAATCGCTTGCCGAAGCTTCTGGGCATGTTGATATCAGCGATTGCGAAGACTCCGAAGAAAGCTCTGCTGCTCAGTCAACCCCATCAAAGCTTTCAAATTCAAATTCACCCAGCTGCATGAAGCGTGAAATAATGGATCAGGTAATACATGCGTTGCGATCCCCTCTGGTTGTCAAGGAGATCGTTGACGACATTTACAACACAGTCTACGAGAAGATCGCAAGTGAACTTCACCAATCCTTCCAACTAGAAATGAAAAAGAGCGAGGATAAAATATCTAGTTTGGTGGATTCTTCAGATTCTCTAAAAAAAAGGATCGCGGGTTTGGAGTCTCTGTTGGACGAACAAGAGCAGTACTCACGAAGGCAATGTTTGCGGATCTACGGTGTCACAGAGAGAGTAAACGAGAATACCGATAACCTTGTTCTGGAAGTAGCCAGGAAGATGAATGTCAAATTAGAACCACGTGATATCGATAGAAGTCATCGAATTCCTACTAAACATATCGCTACTCCGGAGTCGGCTTCAACGTCCAGTTCGACTCCTACAGCTAAACATCATCCGAAACCACTAATCGTCAAGTTCTCAAGATACAATGCACGTCAGTTAATGTATGCCGCAAAGTCAAAATTGAAAAATACCGGTATCGTCATCAGGGAAGACCTGACATCTATTCGGCAGGATCTTTTTTACAGGGCCATGAAACATCCGAACACGAAATTCACGTGGTCCAATGACGGCAAGATCTTCTCACTCACCAAGAATAGTCTGAAAGTACTGAAATTAAGTCAGCACGTTTGTCAGGGAGAGGAGGGGGAGTTGCATTCTTTATCGATGACCAATTCACTTTTCGTATTTTAGACAAAATTAATTTCAATATCGTAGGAGTAGAATCACTTTTTATTGAAATTGAAAGTAAAAGCTGTAAGAATATGATTATAGGAGTTGTTTATCGCAAACCCTCAAGCAGTGCTATCGATTTCATAAACAGATTTGAAAATATAGTGCACTCGATTTCTTTGAACCATAAAACATGTTATATTATGGGTGATTTTAATTTGAACTTACTGGATTTTACTAAGGTCTCAAGTATCGGCAACTTTTTGAACATGTTTTTTTCTTTTGGATTTTATCCTTTGATCAATAAACCCACTCGTTTGTCTATAGATTCAGCTACTCTACTTGACATTATATTTACAAATTCAACCTATGATAGTATTGTTTCGGGTATTTGTGTTTCTGACATTAGTGATCATTTTCCTATATTTAGTATTTCATCTATAATTGGTTCACGCAGTACAAGTGAAGTCGATACGAAGTGTTTTGCACGTAATATTACCCCAACTTCAGTTGCCTCTTTAACCAATGATTTGAGAATTACTGATTGGAACATGGTACTTCAATCAAGTGATGTAAATACGGCATATGATATATTTCTTGATAGTTTTACAACGTTATGTGATAAGCATATACCTTATCAAAAGAAGAAAAGCTACCGTAGAAATGAGATTAAAAAACCCTGGATAACTCTTGCTATTTTGAAGTTTATTAAGAAAACTAACATGTTGTATGGTAAATATAAATTGGACCCTTCTTTTGAAAATAAATCCAAATATAGACAATATCGTAATAAAATAAATACCTTAAAACGATGTGCTAAAAGAAAATATTATTTTGATAAATTCACTGCTGTGAAGTCTAATTTGCGTTAAACATGGAACGTTGTGAATACTATTTTGGGTAAAAAGAATCGTACAACGCGTCAAACGCTGCAATACAAAGGAAAAACTGTAAATGAACCAAAAGAAATTGCAAATATTTTCAATAATCATTTTGTCAACATTGGAGAAAACCTTATTAAGTCCATTCCTGACTCTAATCTATAATTCTTTGACTATTTACAAGGTAACTTTGTTCACAGTTTATTTTTCAAACCAGTAACTATCACTGAAATTTTAATTATTGTTAAAAAATTGCCTAGTGCGAACAGTTCCGGATATGATAACATAAGTACACGTCTTTTAAAATCTGTCATCAATTTTTTACTCGTACCTTTAACACATATTTGTAATCTGTCGCTTAAAAATGGTGATTTTCCTTCAAGCATGAAAATCGCCAAAGTAATTCCCTTGTTCAAGAAGGGGATACAGATAATGTTGATAATTACCGTCCTATTTCCATTCTGCCTTCTTTTTCTAAAATACTTGAAAGATTAGTTTTTAATAGACTATCAAGTTTTTTGGTTCGTTTCAACATTCTGTCTAATGAGCAATATGGCTTTCGAAAAAATTCTTCCACAGGTCTTTCTATTCTTGATTTATATGATAAAATAGTCCATTATGTTGATGTAAATAATCATGCAATATGTGTTTTTATGGATCTTTCGAAAGCGTTCGATTCTATACCCCATGATATATTATTAGTTAAATTACATTTTTACGGCGTAAGAGGTTTACCTCACAAATGGTTTCAAAGTTTTCTTGCCGAAAGGAAGCAATTTACATCTGTAAATTCTCATTGTTCTTTTTTTAATCTAATATCATATGGCATCCCTCAGGGCTTTATTTTGGGGCCTCTCTTATTTTTGATTTACATCAATGATATTGTAAACTGTTCCACTTTCTGTAAATTCACACTTTTTGCAGACGATAAGACTATTCTTGCCTCAGAAAAAAAATTGATCTATTAACCCATAAACTGAATATTAATTTGGAGTATGTTTACGAATGGCTAGTTTGCAATAAGCTGTCTTTGAATGTTTCTAAGACTAAATTTGTTATTTTCAAAAATGCTAGGAACCTAAATCCTGTATCCTGTATATGACAATGTATCTATTTCTATCAACAATAGATTAATTGAACAGTGTAGAGTTTTTAATTACCTTGGAGTACTTTTCGATGAAAACCTATCTTGGACTTCTCATATTAATTATATTACAAAAAAGGTTTCTCAGAGCGTCGGTATTATTAGTCACTTAAGATTAGTTATTCCACTTCGTATCTTATTCATGTTATATAATGCATCTATTTTGCCATATATTATGTATTGCAATTCTGTTTGGGCGACGAAACATCCCTCTAAGTTACTCAAATTACATAGACTTCAAAAAAGGGCATTACGACTCTGCTCTAATTCCCCTTTCTTAGCTCCCTCACAACCTTTATTTAGAAAATTCAATACTTTACATATTTATGATATTAATAAATTGCAAATTGCCTCCTTGAAGCAACGATTTTTCTTAAACTCACTACCTCCAAACCTTATGCACCTATTTAGCCTTAACAATGTGGTCCATACCCACTACACAAGAAATGCTGATAAAATCCATCATTGGAATGCTTCATCCAATATACTAACCGATTCTCTACGTTATGTTGGTCCAAAAATGTGGAATTCCCTACCTCCATTTTTACAATCTGTTGGATTTAATAATTCTTTCAAAAGACTTTACAAGAAACATCTTCTCTCTCTTTATGACGCATAATTTATTTTAAGACCACACCTATATTACTAATACTCCTTTTTATTTTCCCTTTTTTTTTCTCTTCAAGTATATCTAATTATTAATTCTGCGCCAGGTGCTTTCAATTGTCAAGCCTTACTGGCTTTTACGGATGCACCATTTTCCATTTATATTTTGAATGCTGTTATGTTAATTTTATATGTAATTTTGATATTGTTACATGTTATGAAATTCCATATTTTATCTTTGTATATATTGTCATGATGATGGAAATAAATTTCAATTCAATTCAATTAAATCATTGGATTCCTTACCTGAAGATTTCTGCTGTATTCCTGATCCCGCTGCAAACTTCTCCGAGGAGTCTCCAGAGCTCTGTTTCTTTGAATCTTGTCTACCAGTGCTTTTCTGTAAGAGAGAGGAGACAGAGTTGGCCTCAGCTCCAGTGTCATTGGTTTTCACCGTCAGGGTACGCAGGGGGCGATTGGCTGTGCTCTGCTGTCTGGCGATGTCTTTTCTGTAAGAGTTTTAGAGATTGCAAACAAAATTAAAACATTACGTTCATATCTACAGGTGAAAGAAAACAAAAACCAATATCTTCTGAATTTAGAACCACTACACATTACCACAAAATGGCAAATTTAAGAAAGTCTTGTTAACATGTGGTTTTCGGAGATGTTAGTTTGATTTAACTGAATGAATAGTCAAAGTAACTTTTAGCTGACATTTTGAAATTGTAGGAACTTTTTTTTAGCTTACGGCAAGTTCACTCTAAGAATGACGTCACAATGAGGCTGATTCAAACGATTTAATCACTATCATAAGCGTAATTTATGGCGGATAAATGAAATCAATAATCAACAAAGTTTTAGATATTAACGAGTTTGGGTTATTACAAAGTGAATTTTTATATTGACTTATACATCATGTCCATGTTATATATTAAAATGCACGTTTTATGCAAATATTATATTGTGTGTCTTGTATACAAAATATTGTCATACCCTCTCTGACTTTGGATTTTAAGTAGAGGTTGCAGGATTGGTTGATGCTGAAGCAGTGTCTTTATTGTCACCCTTTCACTGTTGAATGCATTCAGGTCACCACCGTGAGAGACAAGGAAGGCAAGGAGAGCATCTGAGTTCGTCTTAATGCCAAGGTGTCCCCATTTCATCTTCATCTGTAAACAAAAATGGGGTCGTTAGATCACCACGTGTTGTCATACTGTCATTTAATTTTCATTGATGGTTTATTCAAAAGAATCAAGATTCGTTTCCAAATCAAAGAATTAGACTTTTTTCTTTATATGGGATTTCAAAATGCAAAATATGGCCTCTTTTTTTTCTCATAACATACCGTATTTCAAGGCTTTTGCCTGAATGTTAAATTTTTAGTCAAATCCTTAAGAGTTAACGATTTAAAGCCTTTGAGATTTCATTGTGATATGTATATGAAATAGCCTGCCAATTTGCACAATTTGGGGTGATAAACGTGGGTTTTTAGAGGTACGTGTAATGTATTCTCAATTCGTTTCATCCCTCAGTAATGTATTATCGGTTTGTTTCATACTCGGTAACATATTCTCAGTATGTTTCATACCTTGGTTATATTTTCTCACTTTTTTGTTATACCTCAGTTTGTTTCTTACCTTAGCAAAACAAATTCAATTTGTTTCATGCCAATAATCCAAGTTTGTCTCATACTTGGGTAATATATTATCAGTTTTTTTTTATCCATCGGTAATCTCTACCCACTTTAATTCATACCTCGGCAATATACTCTCAGTTTGCTTCGTACCTCATGGAGCGTCTCAACGTGACGGACATGTGCGCTATATAAGAAGCCACCATTATTATTATTATTATTATTAATATAAATGTACTTTCAGTTTGCTTTTCACCTCGGTAATATATTCTCACTTTATGTCATACCTCGGCCATGTATGGCTCTTCTTTCATGTCTTGTCCTCGAGTAGCATGGACATCGACGGCAAATTGCAAGGACGTTTTTCCAACAATGTTTGGAAGGTTGATGTCTGCACCATGCTTCACCAAGACATCGACTAAATGGAAATTCTGAAAGAATATGGCTGCAGCAAGAGGACAGGTTCCACATTCGCTATCAACTACATTCACATTACAGCGTCCCTGTCGGCAGAAATGTAAAGAAAAATCATGATTAAATGGACAAATGTTGCATTGCCTGAGTGCTGATTTAGCGCACACTAAATCTGCAATCCGACTACGATCTGATTTTACAAGACTTTGCAAGAGCAGTCGATATTATATTTCGAACAAGTGAAATTGACGAGTCATGTAAACAATATCATTGATTTATGAATAAAAGCTTCATTGTCGGAGGAAAAATCCAAGTCGGCTCCGATTCACTAAATGACACCGGACTAGTCATTAGATTGTATATGATTTAAAGTCGATTTGACCTTTACCGAACTTTTAATTTAGTATATTCATATGATTTTTAAGAACTTAAGTGAGAAAGATCATGTTTGTTCAAATTTCTATAGCTATTAAATTGAGATTCCTTGAAAATCTTATCTCAGGCAGGTCGAATAATGTGTAGCGGTACGCTTTAACCATCTGGCTTTTTACCTTTTTGATCAATAGTTCTGCAGCATCACGGCAGCCTTTGAAAGCAGCTGAATAGAGAGGAGTTCTGCCATTTTTATCCATTGCTTCCCCTAGTCTAGGTATCTTGTCCAGGAGTTTACTCATAGCACTGTGACCAAGGCATGGAGATTAATCAAATATTAAGGGATAATGAATTTATACATAAACCCGTTGAAAAGGAATGGGAAAGGGGAGTTCCTCCCCCTGAATATTGGCTGAATTAATACAACGTATATGGCACAAGCAAACCTTTTACTGTAACTTATATATTTTTTTTCTCCATTGCACCCATTCTTATTCTTTAAAATAATTTTTCATTTGTTTCCCGTTTGCTTTAGAGACAATTTTATTGACACTTACATTATTTTGTATAATTGCTACTAACGGTGCTGAAAAGTCCTGCTGTCTTTTAATGCTCAAACAAAAATAAATATGTATATATATAAATCATCGTATTGGTGCTTTTCTTGTAATAAACCTAGATCTCTATGAAACTGTTCTTGTTCATGTAAGATAAATTTAAATCAATTACAATTGATAGACTTTATACATTATTTTCTTCAAATGACCTTCATGTATAACAGAGCTAACTATAAAGATAATAATTCTCTGAACCAAGATCTGCTAAAATGAATATGTTTGTATCCCCGGCTGAATTCTGAAGCTCATTTAATATGTCTTATTCATTGGAAATGAAAAATGAAAGAATGAACTCCACACACTATGTATTATCCAAGCTAGCAGCAGCGTGCATGCCAGACATTAGATCACTTGAAACCGCTTTCAGATCTGCTTCCTGTCTGTCCATGGTGAGGTCCACTATGGTTCTTCCTCCACTTTGTATTGAAAGGAGTACAGGTGTCATATTGTGCCCGGCCTATTGCAAAGACATTCCAAGGCATATGATAAGTACACTTAGAATTTGTCATGTCTCTTATTAGGTTATAAACACAATTTTCAATTTCAATTTTTTTAGGTGGTCTGTCGTAGACAGATCACCTATTGATTTCGTCAGAATTTTCTTTCTTTATTATTTATTTATTTTATTCTTTATTTTTATTTATTGTTCCCACTTTTTTGTCCGATGATAACTCAAGATCGGTTCAGTCAATTTTGTTCAATTATGGCACAGTCATAGGTCATTGCCATAAGACCTGGCAGAAACATTTTCAAGGTCATCAAGTCTTCATGACGTCATCCAAGCGCCATTTTGTGTTTTGGGGGGTACTTTCAACTTTTGATCGTATCTTTATAACGGAAAGGCATTTCTCATTCATATTTATCATGATTAAGGTCAATATCCATCCGGTCAATTTCAGGTCAAAAAACGCGCGCACATGCGTACGACCGCGCGTCAACGCGCGTGCAAAATTTCAAAATGCTCGAAATCGTCTCAAATTCATTTTGCATACGTTTTAGGCCATTTTAAGCATTTTGCAAAAAACGCGCGCGCGTGTTTTCGCGCGTCATGATATTTTGCAACTTAAAATCGCCGAATTTTCTGTATCATCAAATTTGGCACATTTTTCCAAGCATTTTGATATCTTGTTCACCTGTTTGTGAACATTAATAACGGAATGAGCGTCCGTTTAAGATACATGTACTTGCGTGTGAACTCTTGTAATACATAGCATATATTGGCAAAAACATGCCTATACAAAATCCATTGTAGCTCTTTAAGATGCCAGTTGACCCCAATTTTATTTTCATATTTGGATAGAGTATAAATTGTAGATATGATTTCATGTCTCATTTGACCCTCAATGAACTCATGACGTCATCATAATGGCCTCTGAACTCAAAATTTCTATTTGCTTATTATGACGTCAGCATATTTTTAGAACATTGATTGTATCTCTTTAAATATTGATCGATTTTCCTCTAAATTTGGATATGTTCTAGCTGAGACAATTCCCTACGAGTGCACTTCACACAATTTTTCATTTTGACAAAGGCATCATGGCGTATTTTTGCGATTAAAGGAGGCATGTCAATTTTTCACATTTTGCGTGTATTCTCTATAGGACATGACTTTTTCTCAAAACCGGATTCTACATTCCCGTCTTTCGCGAGCAAAATCATCATGATCATCATCATCATGATCATCATTGTTTATATATCTATATCATTTTTCCCATTCTCAAATCTTTCATAAGAAGTGAAGACAGACCACCTAATTCGTCCCCATGACGAATTAAATTTCTAGTTCAATTTCAATTTATTTATTCAACCATAAAAAGATACATATACAATAAAAATTTATGAAAATATAAAAACATGGGGTTAGGAGCCCCTGAAGAAGTTTGAAAACAAACTTGTGATTGGGGCACCAACCATGACACATATATCGAGAAAATTAACAAAAACAACATTAACGGAAAAACAAATATATACAAGAAAAAAGATTATAAAGACCTACATGTATATGAGGATAAGACATTTACAGCAAAGCACCAGCAAAGCACCAGCAAAGGACGCACACAGGACACGACGTCAAGCGACACTGCGTCACTATATGCGCTCCCCGCTGGTGCTTTGCAATATTACAAAACATTTATATACAAAAAAAGAAAGAAAAAAGAACAAGTGGAGCAAGTTATTCATTATTTAATTGAGCGTGGTTTTTGTACTGCAAGAAAATTTCATTTTTCAAGAGTTTTTTAAATTTATCAAGAGTTTTACTTAGTTTAATATCATTGTCTAGGTCATTCCATAACTTAATTCCAGTACAGCGTAAGGAATTTTGACTAATTGTAGTTTTGGGAAGAAATTGATGAAGATCTGCGTGTTGACGGGTGAAATATGAGTGATAGGAGGCATTTGTGCTAAAAAGATCATTAAAAATATCTGGCAAGGCATTCGTATGATAATGATACATAAAGATATAAGTATACATAAGTACAAGGTCAGAGACCTTTAATGTTTTACATTCAACAAATAAATTGCTTGTATGGTAATTAAATGGTACATTACAAACTGTTCTTATTTGCTTTTTTCTGAGTAATAAAAAGTCTATTTTAGTGTGTTTTAAATGTATTTCCCCCAAATCATACAACAGTAAGTGAGATGAGGCAAAATCAATGTGTTATATAATGATATCATAATATGTCTAGGTAAAGTAAATTTAATTCTGCGGAGGACACCAGTAGTTCTACATAGGCGAGTGCATAGATCATCAATATGTGGTTTCCAGGATAAAAATTCGTTTATTTTGATACCTAAAAATGTAATATTTGATACTTGGGTATTAATCTTGCCATCCATAGTGACTTGTGGGATATCATTACTAGCTTTTTTATTTTTTGTTTTAAAAAGAACATATTTAGTTTCTTCAAAATTTAAAGACAATTTATTGCATTGCAACCAGGTAACAACTTTGTGGAATTCCTTATTTAACAGGTGAATTAATGTGCTGATTTTTGAGTTAGAAAGAGTAATACTTTGTAGGCAACACTGTTGCCTATAAAGGTTAAAGGGATAGTTGAGTTCTGTTTTCAGGCCGCAAATGCCTTCAAAGTGCATGGTTATTGCTCTTATTCTTATCTATGACATGTCTAGTGCCCTTTTAGAACCTAAAATTGCCATGAAGGTAATTTTAGACCCTAAAATGTGTGAAATGTAGCCAATACGATCATACCAATTCAGCTCCACTTTAATAAAAACACGGTGACCGTTAATTAATTATTAAATTAAAAATAATAATACATGGGCCGGCTGGTTGTGCGTAATATAAGCAACACGAACATGCCAACAAAAGAGCCAACATCGGCATTGGCTGAAATACGACGTATAAGGCGTTATTTAATTTTTCAACGGTTTTTTCAAATTTTTCAAAATATCTAATATTTGTGGTGGTACACAAGTATTAGAAATCGTTATATTTCAGCCGTCTCTGAACCGATTTTGATCAAATAAAGATGATTTCGTCATTTAAATATTATGTTCTTTCAAATTTGACACTCAGTTTTTCATTATCTCACAAAATAATTATTTTGTGTAGCGCCCTCTGCAACAGCACTCAACTATCCCTTTAATGGACAAGTCCAATCGAAAAATAACTTACTTGCAATAAAAGCAGAAAAATCAGACAAACCAATCAAAAAAAGTTTGAGCAAAATCAGATAACTAATAAGAAAGTTATGAATTTTTGAAAAAGTATGTAAAACTATGGAACAATAAGAATCACAACACAAATTGCCAAGATGGTTATCAGTTTGTGACGTCATGTCCTCACAACGTATCAATTGTTTTACACAGTTTAATCCTATTAATTTCCCTTTTTATCCCCCAAAACTTGATTTCCCCATACCTTTGCCCAGGTTATATGATTTGTATTATATTGCGTGCATGATATTTCTCAAAAACTGTTATGAATTTTGAAGAATTTATACTATTTTCTGAATATTGTATTTCATAATTATTGACTTTTATATAAATAGTTTATCTAAATTCAATTTGTTCATGATTAAACTGGACAAAAAATACTCTTCATTTGTGCATCCACACAAACACATATTACTAACAATCTAACTTGGATGCTGGTGTGAAGAAACAAGATTCTTAGGGTGAAAATAGAAAATTTATATTATCAATATACAAAAAATAATTAGTGTATAGTGAGGACCATACGTCACAGACTCATGAGTGAGTTGCCAATTTTGTGCAGTGATTTTCAAAGTTTTCATGTCATTAAAAATTCATAAAACAATAGCTCATACTCGTTTTGATTGGTTTGTCCGATTTTTCTGGTTCTATTGAAAGTAAGTTATTTTTCGAGTGGACTTGGGCTTTAAGATCTAATCTACCCCTTTTCATGATATGAAAGTGACAATATTTTATATTCTTGATAGTTGCAGTGTATATGTTCTCAAACCTTTATTATAGAATGGGTTTATCAATCCCTGCAATCTGATTGGTTAATTGCTGCTTATAACTATCGGCTTGCATGGTGATGTAGATATACAGTAGGCTTGCGGTTGCACCATGCCAGACACCTAGGGAAGGATTGGGGAGTCCTGAAAAGGACCCTCGGTAATATTTCTTTCTTAAGTGTGTGTAGTCCTGAAAAGGACTGTTGTTGTAGTGTTGAAAAAGACTGTTGTTTATCTTTC